CCCTGCAGGAGGTGTGCCATCTTGGAGGAGCTGTGCTGCCAAGTGGAGGAGATACAGGAGAAAGTGAGCAGGCTGTGTAGCATCATGAGAGGGGGATAGGTAGGGTCTTCTCTGACCCTATCAGGTGACCCTATCTCTGACAACAGCTTGAAGAGCCTCAGTCTTCACCCGCAATCGAGCAGTAGGGCAGTGTGTGTGTCTAGCCCCACTATCAAAGTAAGCAAAACCTCTGGAGAAGGGAAGGATGGAAGCTGATGAATTCTAGTACCAAGAGGAAGGCTCCTGCCCTAAGAACTTGCAGCTGCAAACTAGACTGACTGACCTCAAAATTGCCACTAGAAGAGCCAGATGTGCCTACTAGCAAAGGACCTGGTTCATCTAACTGTAAATGATGTAAGGGTATCAGGAAGAAAAGGCGAGTCATTGTAGTGAGAAATTCCCTGCTGCAGGGGGCAGAGGCACCCATCTGTAGGCCCTACCAACCATCTAGAGCAGTTTGCTGCCTGGCAGGGGCCAGGATATTGTGGAGGGACTGCCAAAGCTTGTCCAACCCTCTGACTTCTACCCCCTGCTGTTATTCCATGTGAGCACAAATCGTACAGTTGAGGTCGCCTAGCTGGAAAGCAGCTTTGCAGAAAAGGACTTGGGAGTCTTGGTGGGCATCAAGTTGAACATGAGCCAGCAACGTGTCCTTGCTGCAAGGAAGGCAAATGGTATCCTTAGCTGCCCTACACAAAGTATTACCAGTAGGTCAAGGGAGGTGATCTTTCCCCGTTATTCAGTACTGGTAAGGCTACTCCTGGAGCACTGTGTCCAGTTCTGGGTTCCCCAGGACAAGAGAGACATGGACATACTTGAGAGAGTCTAATGAAGAGCCACAAGGATGATTAAGGAACTGAAGCATCAAATATATGACAAAAGGCTGCATGAGCTGGGACTGTTTAGCTTGGAGAACAGGCGCAGGGGGATCTTATTAATGTACGTAAATACCTGAAAGGAGTGTGCAAAGAAGACAGAAAAGAAAGCTCTTATCAATGGTGCCCAGCGACAGGACCAGAGTCAATGGGCACAAACTGAAACACAGGAGGTTCCCTTTGAATGTGAGGAAACACTTCTTTATTGTGAGGGTGACTGAGCACTGGCCCAGGTTGCCCAGAGAGGCTGTGGAGTCTCCATCCTTGGAGATATTCAAAACCTGTCTGGACATCTGGTTGGAGATGTCCTTGTTTGAGTGGGGAGGTCGGACCAGACAACCTCCAGAAGCCCCTTCTAAGCTCAATTATGATGTGATTCTGTGGAAAAATAAGATCTCTAAATGGACAGAAGTCTCTCACTGAACTTGTCACTTCTCTCATACATTTTTGCTCATCGGTGGAGGCTGCCTGGTACAGGAGTGGCTGTGAACAACACTGAGTTGTACAGCTCCCTTTGCAACTGGCTCATGGGTGTATTTGCCAAGTGGAGCAGTCATGGATAGCAAGCTTGAAGCCTGTGATGCCCCACAGGATCACTATCCCATGTTCAGCCCTTAGGTCTCAGTAAACTGATGAGTAAACCAAAACCTGCCAAAAAAGATTAAAACTTACCCCGTATTGCCAGCCTTGCACAAAAATGATGACCCTCGTAATGTTACAAGTAACTGTAATATTTAGCATTCATTTCAGAGCTTTCTGAGGATTGTTGCTCTTGGATTTTCCCTGGTAACAACAAGAGCTAGAAATAGATGATTTTTTTGGTTAGTTTTTCAGTTGAACCTGTGATAATGAAATAAATCATTTGTCATCAGGAAATTGAACTTTGTAGAGAATCATCCACCATGTCAGCACAGTAAAATCATGACATTTGGTTTAGTTTCAGACTGTTCCAGTGACTATGTGTGGTAGTTACAGTACATTACATCTGAAACTGCTGTTATGTCCCTGATCAGTACCATTGGTTTTACTGGTAATAACACTCATGTTCACAGTTTTCTCTTTGTTCTGCGCTGGTGTTAATGTGTCCTACTAGGAGTGCAATTTAAAAGCATCTTAATCAATGTTCACCCAGGGTCACTGAAATGAAAGATTGTTGACTCTCATAAGGTATTTTTCAGAGGAGGAAATTTTAATTTACTTCTTGAGGAAAGGTTTTCCACTGGAAACTTGCTAATGTGCTGTATTCTTGTGGAAAATTGAATGCAAATCCTGCTGGTGAGGTATTTTATGAATTTTTAGATTCATTTAAATATATATTTTCTATTGGTTTAAGATGAAAAAAGTTTCACTGAAAACTGTTTGTTTATTTCATAAAATATCTGACACCAAACACTGGCGCTTTGGAGAAAGAGGTTTCTTCTGTTTGTTCATAAATCAACAAAATTTGGAAAGAAAATTCTGTGAATAACACCAAATTTCATTGCTGCAGCCTAGGATTAGAATTTTCTCTTGTACAGAGAAAAATAGATATTTTGTATAAGATTATACTGGGTTTTTGAACAGCATTAAAAATAATTGAAAATACTGAATTTGATTTAGGATTTATTTGTTGAAAATTTACTTCATCTTTCATATTGGGAAAAAAAAACCCAGAAAAAAAAAGTATCTTATTTCATGAAATCTCACTCAGCAATGATTTTATTACAGATTTATCACTAATTTTATCCCGGCAAACTAAACACAGTGCTGGCTGGGGAAACTGTCTTTCTTTCCTCCATTAATTTCACAACTCCTCCCACAAGATATGAAGAGATGGGGATTCATCACTCCCGTCAACTTGCATCAAAATACTGTCATTGCTGCTGAATAATAAACGCACATTTGTAAATTCTTTTTGCTGCTCCAAGCTCTTACTAGGTTATCAGTTTTTTTCTCAGTCTGTATATAAAGTGAGCCCTAACAGATGATTTACATAGTATGGATATTAACCTTTTCTCAACAGATGAGCCATAGACCGTGTTATTTTGGTTTAGATCATCAGTAAGGCTAGTGGAAAGATCTGCTTCTTCCTCAGTTGTTTACAGAGGGCCACATCCTGTCTCAGCATTGCCATTCTTGTTGTACAACTTTATGTTAAAGATGAAGTGACCTCACCGTAGTGTCATGGCAAAGATGTGATGTTGCCCCACTACATAGTTTTTTTGTGCAAGGAGAGCTGATTCATATTTGTTTTTTCTTTATGCCACTTTGGGTAGCTCTGAAGGAAAGTAATTAGCGTGACCGCGTGACCCATTGATTCATCAAGGTTGTATGTTATTTCCACGTGTCCTAAATAGGGCATTACTTTCTTTGGAATGAAGACAAGAAGGGCGACCAGTGTAGAATGGGGAAATTGCAGAGCCTCCGATAGAGCCGATGTGTTTTCTCATTGCTTTTCTTTCTCTGTTGTCATGGAGAATAGTCTGAGAGAGAGAGGCAGTGGCAGAATTAAAAAAAAAAAAAAAAACTGAGTTTAAAAAATAACCGTGGGTAGTGTGCAGAGAGCAGAATAAGACATATTAGACATAATATTGCATTGTATGCTACCTTTCCACCTAGATGTGGAAGATCTCTGGGCATACAGTCTAGAGGGGAGGGGGAAAAATAAAAAAAAAAAAAAAAAAAGAAAAGAAAAGGGGGAAAAGAAAAAAGGAAAAAAGAATACATGATGATTAAGTGGGAGCCTGGGATTATTCATCCCTGGCGAAGCCTCCCACAAGTGTCTTGTTCAGGTCATCTCAAATAGGTATCAGATAAGCACACGACTGCGATATGTGGTTCTGCACTCTGATACATGCTGCAAAGATCACCCGTTAGGGAAAGTTCTCGCTCTTCTAAATACTGGTGGCAGTGGTCTCTTCTATTACTGTTTCCAGATGGTGTAGCTTTACTCATCTTTAATTCGCCTGTGAGAAGAGCCATCAAATCCTTCAAGAATAATGTGAAATGGGGTTCTGCTTTCCTGAAAAGCCGGCTGGCTGGGCAGAGGGGCTGCATTAGGGATGTTCATAGCGTAGCTCTGCAGCGGATCAGGTAGCTACCGGCTTCGCATAGCAACGTTATGGCCCAGCATATTAAATCATACATCACCTTACCCAGCATTTGTCATCCAGAGGTTTTAAAACCTTCCTAAAAATAGAGAAAAGTGAATGTTTTTGTTCCCATGCTAGAGATGGAAAGGTTGAGGCAAAGAGAGGTCAAGTGTTTTGTCCACAATTGCACGACCAACCAGTCTCTCTGGGGAGAATTTACTCCAAAAGCCAGACCTAACATTTCTAGTGACCTCTTTTTTGGTTGTGGTCTTCTGTTTTAGTTTCATTTTCTATGTGTTTATGTAGGATGAAACATACAGACTGCAAATTAGTAAATATAATTCACTTGTATTAATTTTGCAGTGACTAAAACTCTCATATATGGCACGGCAAACTTCTGGCATATTTATGTTTTATGGTTTGTATAATCTGCCAGGTTTGTGGGATTAATTTTTTTTATAAGAAATATTATGAACCTCTTACATCGGGGGAAATACATTCTCTGCACTAAGTGAAAAAAAGAGGAGGGGAAAATCCAATTTTTTTCTCTTTCACGATTTCTTAGAATGAGCTAAATGACAAGCAGGACTCTGGCGTGTATTTTTAATCTTCCCATGTTTGCAAATCCCCCTCATGGAGTGTAATGAAGCATTAAAATGTTGGAGTCCTAACTTCTATTTTTTAACTTCTGAAACTCAGAATACAATTCAGACAAGCACGTAGCAAAGTAGAAGCTGCCTGTGGGTGTGAAACAGGAAGCACCAGTAGATAGACACATGTATAATAGAGTTACGTTTGCTCTTACTCAACTAGATAGACATCAATTTTAATTAACACGTTTTATGCTTCAGCTACTAACGTCCCTTCAGCAGCGAGTGGGTTATGCGTTTCCATCCTGCATATACCACCAGCATCACCACCACGTCCTTCTCTAGCTTCCCCCTCCCCTTTCTACACAAATGTTGCAACACAATCTGAAATTTCCTCTTTTCTTTCCTTCCTGCGTTTCTTACAGGTTCCCTTGCGTCAGAAGACAAAAAAGAAAAGTCAAGGTAATGAGAGATTGTTTTTTTCTTTTCTCTTCCCTGTTCCTTTTTTGTTATTTTCTTAGTATGTCTTATTCTTGGGAGGGTGAGGATTTTACACTGCTACTCAGCTGGTGGAAGGCTGCTTTTTAACTACACTGATTCTTGCACTGATTCTGAGAAAAAATGACAACGGGCTGTTCCTTTGGACTAAATCCTTGTGGTATGTTAATTGAATCAAAGCTGGAAATCAGTGAGGTAGAATCAGCTGCCTGCACATACACACACACACTAGCGGTTTTCATGTACTTGGCATAATAGTTTTCTCTCGCTGACTTAAATAGATGTATTCTTTTCGGTGCAGCTGTGTGAAGGGAAATATATGCATGCTTCTCTTAAAAGGATCAAAGGATATATTTTTAATTTACAAAAACTTGGATATGGTTTTCTTAGCATTAATTAGTGTCTGCTTTATCTGTAGCTTACTGTTTTGTTTCTGCACATCAGAATGCCTTTCAAATGAATATATGTTACTATCACAGCCATTATGAAGCTGAACGACTTCTAAGTATATTTTAAGATATGCTTGGATGGTTTGCTGAGATTGCTAAGTAAGGTTGATATCTTTAATTGGTAGCAGCGTTTTTCCTGCTAATGCACTTTTAAACAAGCAGAACACTGTATTTTTAATGGCACAGGGTTCTTTATAATGAGCCGACGGAGGATATCATGTAAAGAGCTGGGTCAAGCCGACTGCCAAGGATGGCTCTACAAAAAGAAAGAAAAAGGAGCTTTCATTGGCAACAAATGGAAAAAGTTCTGGTGTGTGCTGAAGGAGTCATCGCTGTACTGGTACAGCAGTCAGCTGGTGAGTACAGCGTCCATCCAGCTCTGGGTGCTGGACAAACAGCATCTGCTGGGACGGAGAGAAGGGGAGCTGGGGGTAACAATTTAGATGCCCCCTGGAGATATACAAATGACAGGGTTTGTTTCTCAGCCCTGGTATTTCTTGTAATCTAGGAAGTGTCTATGTGAATGTGAAACATGCTGAAAACTACGTGTTTTCTAGTTCAGCAAGTACTTGTGAAATGTTAACTTGCTGTCTGTTCTGCCCTTTAAAGGGCTGCTCTTTGCAAGCGCTGGTGGCATTTGAATTTGGGAAAGGTTTTCCAGGGTTGGGCAATTTGCAGACACTTAAGACTCAAAACAAGAACACTTCTTCACTTGTAATTAGTTTAATTTTCAGAAGTCTCTCTCTTGCTTCTCTCTCCAGCCCTGTTCACACTGAGAATAATCTGGTTTATTTGTTGGCATTTTTTTTTTTTTAATTTATTCTTCCCTCCCTCCACAGCTTCCCCCCTTTATTTTGCACTGGTAGTGTTGCAGATATGAACACTGTCAGTTGGTGATATTTTTCTCTCCTGGTCTTGCTGGTATCTCATCCAGAGCATTGTAGTTAAAGGTTCTCATATTCTGCTGATTTTTAAATTCCTGCTCTGATGAGCTGATCCTAAAAGTCAAATCTCCACGAGGACACAGCGTTTTAAATTCAAGGTCCAGCTTTCTGGCCAGAGGGTGAGCTTTCTTTAGGACAGCTGGTATAGATAGAACTTCTCTTCCAGATGATCCAGCCCAAATAACCTGCTACACTTACGGTGTAAATGGGAAATAGTCTGAGACAAAGAACAGCAGGCCCTGAATTCCTGTGATCAACTTAAGAAACTAGGAATTAAAGGCTGAAAAAGGTGGGGGGGAAGATGTAATGAGAAATCCAGAGTAACCCTTTTAATGAAAGGTTATGGCTGAGTGCAAAGAAGCAGTGAGTCCTAGGGAACAGCTGGTTTTATTCCTGGCTGTTTGATACAGCTTGGCAGAGAGGGCGTCTTGTCTGTCCTAGGAAGATTCAGACATAATTATTCTCTTCACTTTGTTCTCTTGCACTGCTACCTCTAAAAAAAACCTCCTGTCATCTTCAAATGATGGATTGACAGAGCCCAGAACTGGGATATGCAGAGGATTAGGGGATGCAAGCAACGATATAGACCGAAAATCAGATGTTTCCAGGTGGAACTGTGGACAGGCACCAGGTTTCCTAAATACAGAGGGGCTGCTCTGAAAATCAGCATGTCACAGACCCAGCAAAGGATGAAAGATTACAGAAAACTTTATTAAGTCTTAGGACATTTTAAATAATTGAGTGTAATCTGGATTGTTTCCACTTTTTTATTTCTATTGCAGTAATGCCCATTTAAAATCTTACAGACTGTTTCAGAGAACAAATGAAATAGATGAAACCATTAAAAAAACCCCAAACCCTAAAAAACTTTACTCAATTAAAGAGTATTTCACATTCTCCCCTCAGTTGCGGGTACGGTGTTGGGGTTTTTTAACAGAATAAAAACTTTGACTGACATTTTAAGATGGTATTAGGTGTTCTTTTTTGGGGGGAAAAGTCAAAACAACTCTGCTGATCTTGGGCCGCTGTTTTTTGTGGTGTTGTGGTAGTCTGACTTGGCTTCTTTTCAAGACAAAGTCAAATACCTGCATGAGAGAAAGAGAAAAGAGAAAGAAAAGAAATCAGAAAAGTAGAAAAAAAAAAAAGACATAAAATAAAAGACTTAATTTTTCCAATGCTTACAATATCTCTGCTTGGAAGACAAGGCCTGGCAGATATACTCATCAGCGGCATTAATACCCTGGAAACCCTTATGAACATCGGCTGTTCTAAATCACTGCTTGCAGTTGAACTTCTGGTCAAGCAGTTTTAAGATGAGCTGGCTGGCTGATGCGCCTTTTAGACCTGGGAAGTGTCAGAAAGGAATTATTTTGAGGAGTAATCAAGCTGGGAGGAAATAAAGCAAGGCAAGATTAGGTAAAGTTTACCTTCCAGGAAGAGAAGGGTGGTGGTGGGGAGGTGCAAAGTCCTCTACTTCCTTTAGTTGTTGTGGCCTGGTTAAATTCCACTCTCGGGATCCAGAGAGGCCATGATCATGCTGATCCTGGTGTTCCTGGACGGCATTAGTCATTTGGGTGATACCTGCTTTCCAGCTGCCACTGACTGCCCCAAAAATGAGCAAGTTTAGAGAACGGGTGGCATCCTCATTTTGAGTTATTTCATATGCTCTGAAGAGCTCATACAGCTTCAAAATACAGTTGGCTTATGTCAGCCCTGACTTCTCACCTATCACAGTCTGTCTTGTAAACAGCCTAGCTAGTAGCACCTCTTTGCTTTCAACTTCTGCTGACTCTCAAACACTATTTTACGTTAAAAACCCAAGGTTTCTTTGGACAACTTGAAGCTAGCCTCTGCATAACTGTATATTCAGGTGTTTGCAGACTGGCAATAACTATGGGGTGTGGAAAAAGTGTCATTTCAGCTAAGATCTCCTTCCTTAAATTGATGAGACCAGAGCCATGCTCAGAGTCATATCTGAGGTGAACTAGACCCGTCATATTTTCACAGATATTTTCACCTCTAGATTGATGAAGCGGAAATAACAGTGACATATTCACTGGCTTGCTTGATACTTCTCTCACTTCTGTATCTGACCTGTCTTTAGTACTGCCTGCACTTCCACTGCTTTCAGTGGAGTTAATCCTTGGTCCCAACAGGGCATCCAAGAGGACAATCTTAAGTTCATAGTTGTGTTGAAAGAGGAGGAGCCCAGCTCCTCTTGTGCTCCCATGATAGGCCTTCTTAGAAGATGAAGTGAAAAGTGATGGTGGAGGATCAGGGTTGAGATCAAAGGAACTGGGGCATGCTGGTTGTCTGTAGCTTTGCCTGACCAGTTTTGTTCAAGTGAGAAATGAGCGTGTTTTGTTCGAGGCTATGTGGAAACCGCAGTCAACCAGACACTGGTAACTGTAGCATAGCAACGGGGTGCTGGACCTAACCTTTTTTTCTAATGGAGATGGAGAAAATAGAGAGTGGGTGGAATTTGAACAGGAATGTGCTTTATCCTGGATTTGGGTAGGTAACCTCAGCTGACGTCATGTTCTCAATGAAGTATGTCTTCAGGCACCTTTGATGCTCTGGATGTTTCTGTCGGTCTGATTTAATTTGCCTTCAAACTACTCTGGTTCTGGGTCTTTCACATGAGGCAGATTAGGGGAGGTGATACAGGACATTTCTGGTGATATTTGCAGATGGTATTTCCTTCAATTTAACATAAAATATGTTGTGAAAGCCACAGCTCAAAAGAGAAAAAAAAATACTGAGAAGGCCAACAACAGCAGATCATACACCATGAGAGTCAAGCTTCTCCTTCACTGAAAGCAAACCAGAGCACATAGGCAAATCCAAATTAGCTATTGACTGGCTAGCTGAGGTACTGAGGCTGGTGAAGTTAGTGTTCCTGTGGTCTCAGCGGAGATGGGTAGACTCTGCTGAAAACTCTTCCCACATATGCTCGGTCTTTCTTCAAAACATGGATACCACATGAGGCAGGTTAACTTTTGTTTGCCGTATGGACATGCCCCCAGTCTGGGGAAAGGAAGCTGTTTTGACTAGAAAGAAACACAGGAGGGTTGTTTTTGCAATGGAAACACAGAAAAAGTAAGAAAATGGATCTAAGCAGTCAGACTTTCTGGGTACATTCAGGAACATCAGACTCCTTGGACAACTGCTCTTCGTTAGTGTTTGGTTTCCTCTTTTGAGTATCACTCTCTACAGGGACCTGCCTTGAAGGCAAGAGTTTAAAGAGGACAGTGTGTGATCCTGCCTGCCCCTTTAGCAGTTTTAGTTCTCACACTGAAACCCTGGAGGGAACCAGTACTCCTGCACAGGCAGAGGGATGGGGTGGGGAAGATCGTCACACATAATGCCAGGCTCCTGGTTCCTTGAGCTTGTTGTGACTGTTGGATAGTGTTGGTTGGAAGAGACAGAGGACTAAGTGGTCTAAAGGTCTTGTGGGCCTTTAGGATAGCTTGGCTGGTTTTTCAAGTAGGGTTGAAATACAGTTTTGCAGGATGTGTTAACAACGGTTGTCATGGGGATTCAGCTGAAAAGAAATATAAATATAAAATGAAAGGGTTGCAGACTGTGATCTACTGTCACTATTTATCTTTGATTTTATTTTTTTCCCCATTCCCTGCATTTAAATTGGTCCTCACTCCAAACAGCTTTGCCAGGAGCTGTATAATTGCAGTCTTTTAAAACAGAAACCTTTCACCTCTGAGTTATAGTAGCTGCTTACAAGAATGATAAAAAGTCATTGATGTCAGCTGATTGCGCTGAGGGCTTTGGGGACCTCTGGTCCAATATCTTACACAAATTATTCACAGTTCTATAGTTTGCCTCACTGGTGTACTTGGCAGAGAGAAAAAAAAAAAAAAGTCTAAAAAGTCTTGAGGACTCAACTGCTCCTCTGACATCCACAGGGTCTTCTGGGGCAGCACTGAAACCCTTTGATGAAGCCATAAGGAGTACCCTGAATTGCAGACTGGACTGTTCCACAATAACTAGATACTTTTGCTTTACAGCACTATTTTTAAAAACCTTTCTGCACCATTACATTCACTTTAAATATTGAAAAATCTATTAAATCATTTACTAAATCTCTTAAAGCCACAAAATCTAGACAATGTATTGAGGCAAGCTAACAGAGACATTAGCCTCTTTCAGTGGATTCATGCATTATGTTTCATAAATATGCTTGAATTTTTTTGAGTGAAAAGCTTTTTCTGTGAAAAAGTGGTTACTTTCTTTTTTGCCCCAAGCATTTGCAGAGACTGTTATTATTATTGAAATTATTTTCCTATAATTGGGCATAGCAAAAAGTGCAGATTTATATATTAGGCTAACCTGCATAAAAACTGGAAGAGATAACAACTTACTCTTTTAAAAATCCTGATTAAATAGGAAACACATCAAGGTTGTTTTAATCTGAGTTTTTAAGCAATATTTTACAGCTTTTCATTAAAATATGAAGGAAGTTTGAGTGAAATGTGTGAGTTAAATAATAGCATGCTTAAAGTCATATTAAAGCTAACATTTCAGAGAAAAGAAAACATTTAGAACTTCTCTACCCTTTTAATGTTTTAAAATGTCATTTTTATTCCAAGATTGACCAAAAAGATGACTTCCACATGTTCTGTTCCTACTGTTTATATGGAATTCTATTTGAAGACTCTAATAACACTAATAATGTTTTACTGTTATGATTTGGTTTCCTTTTTTCCCTTCCTTTTTCTAATTATGGAGGTGCACACCCATCAAACCCCTGTTTTCTGTTATATAGATGGCACATCTGAGATGTACCAATAGTGCATTAAAACAAAAAATTGACACCATTATCCTCCTTTCTTTCACTCATACATAAAATGAAACTTCCAATTTTTCGTATAAATGAACAAATGTGAAATCACTGACAGAATTAATATAAAACCTGAATGCATTAATCATAATCCTTTACCAACTGGAACATATCGAATACTGCGTAAGAAGTCTGGAGATTTCTTTGTTGTAAAACTGGCAAATGTAAATTACCGAAACCAAAGCCTACCGACTTATTTTTGTGAGCAATTTATAGAGCACTCCTCTAATTTAGATGCTCGTTTGGTATGTCCATCTCCGCACGGGTGTGAGCACCCCAGGTAAGTGTCCCCTGATAATTCACCAGTCCAATACAAAATCCAAATGCTCTAATATTTGTATACATTGACAGTAGAGACGGTGACTTATCTAATGGTATTGCGTGGACCTAATCTCCTCATCAGTGCTTGTGCAATGCCCTAAGCAATTTATAGGATGCAATCTAGACCAATGGCTACTGTGCCAATAGATAAAAGTGGCTGAGCTGTGATTGCATTCATAACATGTAAAGCCAACCCATCCCAGACCTTAGTCACCCCCTCACCCACCTGATGGTTTACCTAGCATGGGTTTATTGGTGTGCGGGTGAGAAGGTACCTGGGTATATTCCTTCATATGGGGTCTTCTGGATCTCTTTTTAATTTTTTTAAATTGGGTTTATTGATTTATACTGCAGAGAAACACTAGCACTGTATACATTCCTTATCCAGAAATGTGCATAATAATGGCTTTGATACCTCATGAGCTGCTTTTTTGAAGCTGGTCTCTGGTGTTCTTAGACTGGTCTTAGGAACCAAACAGGAATTTCAGTGCTCTCATTGCATCTGGTCCAGTAAGTGACCACTCTTTTTTGGCACAGAAATGCAGGGTAGTACATTTTCTATCTTTAGTACGATGCAGCCCATGGATAGAGCTCCTCCTTTACTCAGCCCTACTCATTCACTCATCCCTATATACTTGGTGTACTATGGATCTGGGATAGAAATACTAGATCAAGGTCTAATTGATCAAAATATACTTTTTTTTTTTTAAAGGATTAAAAAAAAAATTTGTAACTACTGGTCTTAGGAACCAAACAGGAATTTCAGTGCTCTCATTGCATCTGGTCCAGTAAGTGACCACTCTTTTTTGGCACAGAAATGCAGGGTAGTACATTTTCTATCTTTAGTACGATGCAGCCCATGGATAGAGCTCCTCCTTTACTCAGCCCTACTCATTCACTCATCCCTATATACTTGGTGTACTATGGATCTGGGATAGAAATACTAGATCAAGGTCTAATTGATCAAAATATACTTTTTTTTTTTTTAAAGGATTAAAAAAAAAATTTGTAACTTTATTTTCTTTAGTTAATTGTTATTTTTTTCTCAAAAAGTTTAGTCTCACTAAATTCCAACCTGTGGAATGGATGGAAAAGATGGGGGAAAAAGATCGCCAAACCAGGCTCTCAACAAGTTTGACAGATACAAATATAATGAGAGAAAGTTAAAAGCCCACAACAGCAAATAAGCATGTTTTGGTACAAATGAAGCCGCATTACAAAATCAACGTTTTTTCAGTCCATATAGTGAAATACTGATAAATACAATTGTGTCTTCTGTACTGAAAGAAAACAATAAAAAGAAAAAACAACAAAAAGAAAAAAAACAACAAACATCTTCCACTGTTTTTTTTTTTATTATTTTTTTTTTTTTTTGGTCCTTGAGCAGGCAAGGCTATTTACTGGTGAAGATGCAAAATATAAACATCTCATATAAATATTTAATACATGTTAACTGCATGTTGGAATGATGGTTATGCCATGATTTATTGTATACCAATGAATAGAAATGCAGAGGTGCAGGGAAGACACCCACTGAAATATCAATTCTATATCCATATTTCAGTTCCAAGAGATTCATACTTCCAAGCATTAAAGCTCAAAGACTTGTCTCGATGAACATCTTTTTATAGTCTCTTCATATTCATGCATGATGTGACTTGAGATGTTGTCAGTCATCTTCATTTATCCTCTGTCTCTGTAATTGTTGTGTGTATTTTACCTGCTTTAAGTCAGTGTACGTTTTCAGAATTTTAATGTGCCCAGGGATAAGGGCTGGGAGCAGCATTAAAGTGATTCAAGGAATGAACACTTTCTGTATTTTGGAAAGTACAGTTTTTCCTGACATTATGTCTACCGACTTTTGTCTACATGATTGCTCCTCTTAGCAGGAGTCCTATTCTTACTGCGGCTGATCGGGTGAATGTAGATAGATGTAGCAAAGGAAGATATTTCAGTGGCAGGCAGCAAGAACAGGGATTTGAGGCTATCTGGTCACTTTAGTTTTGCTGGAACCACTCTCTGACAGAGTCCTGCTGACCTGGAACAGAGATACCAATGGTCAGTAAACCCTCTCCCAACTAGAAAGGGGTGACTGCATCTACACAGCATACTGTAAAGGTCCACCTGGCTCTTTCTATCTCCTGTATTGTGGCTGCAAATTTCTGGGGGGAGTGATAGCTGAGTGGCAAAGCCATCTGAGGCTAGTTTGCAGTGTTTAACAACAGACCTCAGCAGCATGGGACCATCCCCTTGCACGTTTTCACCTCTTGGTGTTGGAGCAGCCCATATTGTACAGGACTATATAGGTGACCCTATGAAATGGTCCAGGACCCTATGAAACAGTCCACATTACACTTACCCAGAGGAGACCCTCCTCCATCTCTGCCTAGGATCATTTTGGATCATTTTTGAATTCCTGTTGCTATAGACACGTATTTTTCAAATATACATAGATCACTATACATTGCCCAAGTCACAGGCGACAGGATTAGAGGAAACGGCCTCAGGTTGCACCAGGGGAGGTTCAGGTTGGATATTATGAAAAATTTTTACACTGAAAGGGTTATCAAGCATTGGAATGGGCTGCCCAGGGAAGTGGTTGAGGCACCATCCCTGGAGGTGTTCAAAAGATGGGTTGACATGGTGCTGGGGGACATGGTTTAGTGATGGGTTTTTTTTGTCAGAGTTAGGTTGATGGTTGAACTAGATGATCTTGAAGGTCCCTGCCAACCTAGATGATTCTATGACTATGCGGTGGTGTTACGCATCTGTGTAAAGCACATGCATGCTGAATCATGGAACAAATGTTCCTTTGAGATTGTATGTACAATCCAGACCTGAATGGATGATATAACCCTTATTTGTTCTCGTGCCATCCATCTCTTTTGAAGGCTTCTGTTGTTAAAATTGAGGTTCAGCAGATCCATTTTCTATGGTCTATGCAGAAAGTGTGGCTGGTCTCTTCATCAAAAGAAGTTATGTGATTGCTGATGGCTGCAAAGGCTCCGCCACCTTCACGCTGTTTTTAGTCCTGGCTTGATCCAAGCCTAAATTTTGCCCTTGAGAATTTCAGATTCAACGCTAGACTTACAACTTACCCATGAATCTTAGTCAAGATTGTTCAGATACAGACGCTTCAAGGTGAGGAGGATGGGGAGTCTACCTCAGCACTATTGCAGAAGTTGAGGATCCTTCTTCTTTCAGACACTTTGCTATTCGGAAGCGTACAACAAATCCCATGCTCATACACAGCTGCTTGAACAGACAGGAGTGGTGACTTTCTAGCATCCAGGACTTGCACAGATAGTAGCTGGTATAGGAATATTTCTTGTTCACAAATACCAGCCAAAACATCGGGTGTTAATCTGTCCCCATGGTGATAAGCATATATTTTCAGACTATAAAAAGCTGTCAAAAAACAAGAACTTGCATGTTAAATATTGTTGAGTATTGAAGTGTGATAGTTTACCATTTCGTTGATGTGGTGATTTTAAATTATTTTTTTTTAATTGTAGGCTGAAAAAGCAGAAGGATTCATCAGACTTCCGGACTTCAGTGTGGACCGAGCAATTGAATGCAAAAAAAAGCAGTAAGTTTATCTCTTGCAGCCAGCTTTGCATGATTTTTACAATGTCGTAGGGAATTGAATCTCAGTAGTGCCTGACAATGAAGCTGTGGGGAGCTCTTCTGTGTTGTATAAATAATGAAATGTTAATTGAGCTACTGAAAGAAAACCATATTGCAAAAATATTTTTGAAAATTCTCTGCCAGATGTGCTCTGTTAGAACTACAAATCAAAAAGTAGATCAGTATGTCAAATGTTTTTGGTTTTTTTTTTTTCTTCTCTTTGTTTACTGATTACGAGTAAGTTGTGTTCTTTCTTAAATACCTTCTCTTAGGTGGGGAGGTCAACAGTGGTGCAAGTAATGCTGCTTCCCTCTGACTCAGGACTATTCTTTAGGCTGCTGTGGGTCAGCTTTGTTTAGCAGGGTACAGATTTTGAAATATTCCCTCCAAACTCCCTATGCAGCACTGACTTCCAGCTGCTTTCTGAGTACACTTCAAAGGTTTGGAGGGGTGTTGCTGCTGTTCAGATTTATAAAGCTCAGCATGGTTTTTATTCTGTCTCTCAAGAGAAAGCCTTGGTTTCTCTGTTCTGCTCTCATGCAGACATTAGCTGTAGGTGTTCCTGAGACTGACTGTGGGCTTGACTTCTCCAAAGAAACAGGACAGCTATTTTGAATATGGGGAGCTCCGTTTTGTTTTCTCAGAGGAAAGGTTGAGTCACATAGTACAGGACCACGAGAAAACTTTGCCCTTCACTTTTCTGCAGCTGTTGGCTCTCAGTGACTGGGAGGAAAACACATGCTCATCACTTATTTAAGGTGGAGTAAGTTGAGAGAACTTTGAGGAGTGACGGAGGGTGCTGGGGCCCAGTCAAATAGCACGTGCTTCCATGGGATAGTCATTCACCTAACGGGGAACAAAAGAGGAAAGCCACACAGTCTCAGGATCAGAGATTATGTTTTAGAAAAAAGAAAAGCTCTGACAAGTCTTACTGATGGCTGTACTAAAGCATAGTGTGAGGCTGAGACCAACAGGTTAAACATTGGTATGTCTGTGGACTACCTCCATTTAATTTGTTTCAAACCTGCCACCTAGTTGCCTCTATGGTGCCTCCTAAAACTTGTCTTGGAAAACACAGTGACAAATCAGTCCCTATTTACCTGCTGCGTGCTGCTTGTGATTTTATTTTATTATATCTCCCTTTTCTCAACCACCAGTTTTCCATGCTGTGGGTCTTAGCCTGATTAATCACTCTCGGAAGCTGTTCCATACCTTGGATCACCCCTGGTGTTCTCTCTGAACATTTTCCAGGTTATGTGAGCTGAGGGAAGCAAAGCTGCACACAGTATTTGAGGTGCGGGCACACAACTGCATTATGTAATAGCATAATGAAGGTCTTTGTTTTATTTTTCATTCTTTCCTTCTTAGTTCCTGTAGTTTATACCTTCTGAATAATGTGTGGCCTAGGAAATGAGCTAAAAATAGCCTAGCATTTTAAGGAAAGAGCTATGTGGATGAATAAGATCATCTGGATTAATATAGTGGAGTGAATAAATATTGTCAATAATTAATTCAGCTATTTTTTCTTTTCTTATGTAAACTAGTTTTCTTCATATCTCTTCCATTTTTCTTTTCTTACAGTGCTATTAAGATCAGCCACCCACAGATCAAGACATTTTATTTTGCGGCAGAAAATGTTCTGGAAATGAACACGTAAGTAGGAGCGACTGGCCATGTTTCATCCTGTCTCATGCCTGAGAACACCCTTTGAAAGTTCATTCTCTCACTGTCAAGCGGTTGTTGACAAAGTTATTCGGGGAATTACTGAGTCTATTTTATTTTCTGGTCATTGCAGAGAAGGAAAATACCATAGAGAAGAACAAATACAAATATTTGTTCACCAATGACAGTTGAAATCAGAATTGCATTATTAGCCTCATTTTGATATTAATCTTCCCAGTATTTGCTGGCATAAATCCCTTTCCATTAGACAGGAGCAAAGGTTTGATAAGTTCATCACCTTGGGAGAAGTGAGGAAAGAAAGGAAAGAGAGAAAAAAACTTACTATAGTTTTGTCCCAGAGCTGATCTAGGACTGAGATATAATTTTGTCTGCTTTCAGAGTAATGTATCAGTTAACAAGGGGGCTTAAAGGGATAGAAAGAACTGTTTCTTTAATGTAAGTAAGCATTTACTTCACTGCCAAACTATGAGGCAGTTAAATTATCTTCGTGACAGATCAGAAATTTTCTTTCCAAAATTGTCCATAAGAACAACAATTAATTCATGCAGTTCTTAAAGCAAGAAGTAAAGATGCATATGAAACTGCCATTTTAGAAACCACCGAGGTATCTGAAATAGATATTATTTGCTATTGATGCAGTTTTGGCTCATTTAGATACATCTCATATTTTTTTACTTTTTTATTTTTCATTTCAGATTGCAGTCAGTTCACAGCGCTACTGCATTAAATGGCTAAATACCAGACACAAAGCAGTGCAATTTAAATGGGAAGAGAGTTCCTATGATAGTCAGGGCAGGATTTTAATCACAGTTCCGCTGGTGACCTTTGTGAGATTCTTCATAGGGCATTGACTGTTCTTTCCCTCTATAAACAGGAAATCTCATACATATTTACCACAATAGAAAAAGATAGGGGTTGAGAGAATGTGTGTAATATTCCAAAAAGGGCAATAGATACCAAATTGTGTGATACTACAATAGTGTACAAATATATATTCATAAACATGTAATCTATAGATGCAGGCAGGTAAATACAGATGGAAAGAATGTGTTGTCTTTTGCAACTTGAAGCTACACAGAGCATACTGGTGGGGAGATGATAACCACACATTTCTGTATTGCTGTGGTTCCTACCAGAGCTTGAGGCAGATGGGCTGAGGATGCCTGGGAATGAGGGACTGCTGGACAGGAATATTTCTGTAGAGATTGTAACCCTGGTTGAAGGAGAAGAGAGGGAAGGATGTGGGGAGAAGGAAAAGGAAAATTAGAGCTAATGGAGGATGTTAGTAAATGCTAACAACCAGTTTGGAGCCCAGCTGGAAATTCTCAGTGTCTTAATGACACTTTTGAAATGTTTAGTCTCATGTGAAATCTATGCAGGTGTCCTAACTCTTTTGCCCCCAGAATGATTTTCTTCAAACTCCACTTCTTGAGTAAATTTCATTTTGGGCTAAAGCTAGGTAGCCTAGTGTTAGAGCAGCTTGCACTATGCTACACTAATACTAATTCCTCACTGATCCAACTGATGATGTTTTCCTTGGCAAAGTATAAAATACATGCATTTAATACATGAAGTACATGCATACTCACGCATATGTCAAAACAGACTAAAAGACATCTGTTCTGTTGGCTGCAGTCCCACAAATACATATGCATGTGAGAGTGATTCCACTGAACTCACTGGGGCATTTGCGTGTGTCGAGTTACTGGTGTGCACAAATGCTTGACAGATCATGACCTTTCATAACTCTTCATGCGTATATATTTATTAAATCAACAGTGGATTTATTAACACAGTCGTTTGCTTCATGAATTTAACATGTATTTGCCACTGTCACACACACGTGAAAAGTACACACGTGCTGGGCTATCTGCATGCATTTACCTGGCCTGTTGCACATGGTCACTGGTGGTCTGTCTGAACCTGTGGTTAAAATGAAGTCCTGTATTTTTAGCAAGCCTTTACTTGTGTTTATATTTTTTTTTCCATTTAAGAAACATTCTGTTACAAGTAGGTGTTAGAAGAAAATCAATGATCCACTCTTATAGAAATGACACTTTGTTTTCTTGAATTATGTGGCTCTAATGCTCAAACTGCAGTCTAAAAATCCTGTTACTTTCACACTGATTTTACTAGCAAATTTCCTATTGCTTCAGTAGAATCAAGATCAGACACAATGTTCTTTCAGAGTTATGAATCTTAATTCCTGCTCTTCATACATTCCCTGTTTAGGCCTTGAGTTTTGATCTGAAAGCCTTAAGCTTTTCAGTTAATTTCTTAAAACTGTGGCCAGCAGGTTGAGGAAGGTGATTCTGCCCCTCTGATCTGCTCTGGTGAGACCCCAGCTGGAGTCATGTGCCCCACTCTGGAGCCCTCAACACAGGAAGGACATGGATCTGTTGGAATGGGTCCAGAGGAGGGCCGTGAAGATGATCAGAGAGCTGGAGCACCTCTCCTATGAGGACAGGCTGAGAGAGCTGGGGTTGTTCAGCCTGGAGAAGAGAAGGCTCCAGGGAGACTTTATAGCAGCCTTCCAATATCTGAAGGGGGCCTTCAGGAGAGATGAGGAGGGACTCTTTATCAGGGAGTGGAGCCATAGGATGAGGGGTAATGGTTTTAAACTGAAAGAGGAGAGATTTAGATTAGGTATTAGAAAGAAATACTTTCCCATGAGGGTGGTGAGGCACTGGAACAGGTTGCCCAGAGAAGCTGTGGCTGACCCCCCCCTGGAGGTGTTCAAGACCAGGCTGGATGGGGCTTTTGAGCAACCTGCTCCAGTGGGAGGTGTCCCTGCCCATGACAGAGGGGTTGGAACTCAATGATCTTTAAGGTCCCTTCCAACCCAACCTTTCCAATGACCATTCTATGATTCTATGACCTACAGGCAAGCACAATATACACAAAAGTATCTCCAGGGATTGTTTCTAGTGCTAGAAAAATGCAGCCACGTAGGAAGAGGAATGAAAAAGACCTGTTAATATCTTAAAGTGACACAGGAAGTGGGACTTAGTAAAAACAAAAGTACATTGAGAGTTAAAGAAAGCAGTATGTAATGGTCCGAAAGTGTTGTTTTAAATGACTTAGATTCTTAGACTGTGCTACAGTAGCTTTACCCAGGGTAGCTGACATCATCTTCTCTGGCCCCTGTGCCTTTTGGCTCCTTTCAGGTAAAAAATGGTACCTCAACAGCAGGACTAAACCACTAACATTGTGTTATAGCACACAAACTTCTCCTTTAGCTTCCACAAATCAACTCCTTGGTCATCAGTGGCACTTTTTTCAGGATCAGGGAAAGATGTCCCAGGCAACTAATCCTACTAACCACGGGGAATATTAATATTCAGGTAACTGGTGCATTTCTACATAATGTTCTAAGAAATAGAAGAAAACTTCAATATTTAGTCTTCAGGTTAATGAAAATGGATGTAGTAACATAGAACACATCTGAAAGGGGCAAAACTCTGTCTGAACAGCATGCAAGTATCCTTAACTCTATATTCCCTCTGTTTCAAACACAGGTGGCTAAGTAAGCTGGGGATGGCTGTAGACCCTCAGGCACCCAATGGGAAGAATGAGGAAGGTATGCTCCTAACGCTGGTTTCAGTGTATAACTACATCATGTTCTTCACAGTTTTTGCTTGGCCAAATTTTTGTTAGCTCTTTCCTTCCTTTTAAATTGTCAACTTGGGTCTGTCTAGCAGCTGAGCTCAGAGGAACCACACTGACACAGCGCAGAGTATTCACGGAAAAAGTAATAATGGTGAGAAATAGTGTCACTGAGGGACACTTAGTGATCTTGTGAGAGATGTGTAACTGCTTCGGTTTGCTGGCTTGCTAAGCCTATCAAGTGTGAAAAAAAAAAAAAAACCCATCAAACAGCTGTGTTAATCTGGGTGTTGAGTTGGTAAGGTATATTACAGGAGTCATGATATGGCCCAGGAGTTTGCTAGCTTGGGAACATCTTTTAGAGTATTGGTACCCAGTGATTTTTTTAGAACTGCTCAGATTGTGAAGGAGGTGGAGGCATGGAGAAGAAACTGGTATTTGGCTATTTGTAGTAGTATGAACACTTAGGTGATGCAGCCTGTTTTGTCTGAGCACTGAAATGCACCTCTCTGCATCCCTTCTGCTGTTTGCCAGGATAAGGTTGTGGTTTATGACCAGACTTTGGACATGTAGGACCATTATTAATTAGCCTGATGTGGCTGTATTTATACTCTGGCTCCATTTATGCTCTGCTGTTAGAAGCAGCTTTGGGGCTGGTAAACATAGGTACCACTGATTCTGGAGGTTCAGCAGGTGTCATCAATGTCTATGTTTTCAGCTCATGGTTCCTCTTTATTTCTTGTCAGAAAACTTGTTAATTTTCATACCCCCAAATGCCTCCAAAATGCCTGTTAGTTTTGAACCTAATTTTGGATCAAAACAGTCTGAGATAATTCGGATAAAGGGCTATACTGAGTATTGGGCTGTGCAACAAGTACTGCACCATAATTGTGCTTGGGAAGGAAGTGTCCAAACATGTTGTCCATGTTTTCACAAAGGAGGAGTTTGTTGGAAGGTGAGGATGGTCAAAATTCTAGACATGAAAACAAATTCTTTTTTTAAAATCATCAAAATATGTTGTATTGATTGTGTTGCCTGAGTCAAGAATTATAAAACAATTCAAAATGAGTCAGCCCACTAATCTTAATTTATAAAATTACAAAGTTACAAAATAATCCACTCAATAACCTCTACAGCAGGTTATCTAGTTACCCTGTAACAAACATAACATAGCCAATTTTTCTTCAGCTTTTGAAGCTGGTGGCCCATTTCCCCTTCAGAAGAAGCACTCTGATTCTGGTGTCAAACACCTCTTCGTTTTTCCACGTGTGTTTTGCCACAGGTGCTCCAGCAGCTCCCTTGAGCTGGGGTTCAGCCCCCCACCAATGAGCCTGGGTGGACGTGCCCTTGCAGAGAGGCATTGCTATGCCTCAGAAAAATGCTGTCATTGCCCACAGTCACTTCCGTTCCTGCTGATCTGGTCCTCCCCTCTGTGTCACACACCATAACTCTTCAGGAAGGTCTTGGCTCTTGTTATGGCAGTTCTTGTGTATTCGTGTACTTTCTATGCATTTTAACACCACCACCACCACCCCCTTTGCCTATTTAGTGTATCAGAAACAGCTGTTGATTCTTTTTCAGTTCTGTGTGCCTAAAAGGGGACCTGTAGAAACAATAAGGTCTTTAATAAAAGTTATTCAAGAAGGCATTAATGGAGCCTTACAATTTGATATAGCCTTTTTGCAGCCAGTCTCAGTCCTTTATGGTAAGCACATATTTCCAGTAAACAGAATAGCAGCTACACGGTTAGAAACCTCTATAGTTCTGCAAACAGTTCAAGGAGAAAAAGTAATGAATCTTTTAAAGTTCTGTTTTGTTAACAACTTAGAAATTTCTCTCTCGTGTATAAAATTCTCCCTTAAAACTTTGTTCCCCTCACACTGGGCTTATTAAACCCCCCCCACCCATGACATGCATAAAAGGAAAGACTGTGGGGCTTAATTTAGTTAAAGGATGAGATAGTCACAGGTGATTTCCCAGGGACTGTGCTAACACACTGCTTTCTGGTGGTGTGAACCCGTGAAGTCCAGCTCTTACAAAGTACTCCCAGAGCACAAACAACCCTCACCCGCTTGGGGAGAGAGCCGGAGAGGCAGCGCAGAGCCCTGGGTCCATTGGGGATGGTACTGGTGGCCTCGGCTCTTATCACACTCAGCACTCGCTCACGTTGTCCTCATTAAGCTCCGACTATGTCTTTGCAACCTTTCATTTCCCCAGCTCAGGCGAGTGGGGGTGAGGGCTGTCACCCTTCACTCGTGATGCAGGGCAGGATGCAAGCACTTGCCGCTACGGAGGCTGGACATGAAAGGATGGTAGATTTAGCTGAGGGAGGTAATCTTGCCCAGTGGTTACAGCCAGGCCCTGGGAATAGGAACCAGGAACTTACTGCCTCCCCTTTTCCGTGTCTCACTTTAACAATGATTATCACTTCAGTAATTCCGCTTCTAAAAATCGCCCAAGAAAATGCTTTCACCTGCTGTATTGGTAGTTGAAAGAAATAACAACATGACTGCTGCTCTTCCACATGTCAATAGATACTGAGCTTGCTTTTTATTAATAAAAAATAATAAAAAATGAGTGGGGTGTATAGTCCTAGAGTACAGTGTTTACTTTTAGTACTAGCTCTGCACATGCACTGCATGGTGTCCCTGTGCGAGTTACCATGTGGTGACAGAAAGCTCTCGTGATGCTGCTCTATGGTTTCCAAAGCCCCATGTGAGCAATCTCAATCTGTTTCTCCAAAATTCCAGCCAAAACACCAATGCTCTAGGAAAACTTACTGCTTACAGAGATTAAGGGACAGCATCTGCTACTTGGGACAGGTCTCTCTAACATACTACAAATGGTACAGCCTTTCCTTTAGAGGCTGCAAAAGGAGGAAAAAAACACACCCCAGACCTATTTGTGAAGTTATCTAGAGCAATGCCACCTAGTGTTTCCTGCCATAACAAGTTAGCAATTTTTTGGACTTAAAAAAAAGAAAATGTGTTGTTATGAAGTAGTGTAGCATTACCACAAATGGGTCAATTTTTACTGCAGGAGACACTGACTTGTTACAGTGTGGTTCCTCAGCCCAGAACATCCTACTTGGTGCTTTTTGGCTATCACAGTGCTTCAGGGAATAAATGAGTTTTGGTCTAACACTTTGATTTTGCTCATTTCCCATGTCTGCTTCAGAATGCTACAGCGAAAGTGAACACGATGATCCAGAAATAACCGACACACCACCTCCCCCCTACACAGTCCAGCCACCTCCGCCTTCGGTAAGTAATTAGCTTGCTTCTAGTTGCTAACCACTTGGCACAAAACTTTCTCGAGGTGGTGGACCTTTGAGAAATAACCTAAAAGAGCAGCTGGAAATGTTCACCCTGTGTGCCTGTGAAATGAGGATGCTCTGACAGCACCTGCCCCGTGCTGGGAGCTTGCACTGCAAAGAACTGATCCCTCCAATAGAGGTAGATTTATTGTGCTGGAGAAAGGGAAGTGTCACTCTACTTTGTAGACATGCTGTAACACACTGCTATAACCCTGTTTTTCATACTATTCTTTTTTAAAAAAAAAATTCTTTCTTTTTGTGACACTGGTAGCATCATCCAACAGATTTGTATTTAATTGTTTGTTTGGGCTTTTCTTAAGACTGCTGAATTTGAAGCTGGTTTTGGAGCAGTGAAGAAAAGTGAAGGGCCTCTTCTTACAGTGATAAAACCAGTTCTTTTCTTCTACCTGTGAAAAATAGACTATAAAATTTGAAAATAAGCATGCTTCCAAAATCCATACCATTTTTTTCTCTTGCTGTAGAGTATTTGTCCAGAATATTCCTTCCTGCCTCGCTTCATTTCATAAATTAGAATAAGCACTATGCACCCTCATGTATCTAATTAAATTGACTTGCCTAATTATTAGGCACTTATCGCACTATTAATCTTGTTTCTATATTGTTGTTTCTCTCAGTGATCTCATCTCCCTTTACATGTGCTTTAAGATATGAGGTTTACTTAATTCTGTGTTTAGAAATGAGTAATCTGGTTTGGGATGGTAATTCAGCTGAAAAAAGGAAGCCTGAGTTTAAGCTTTTCCCTTCCCCAGCTGAAAGTTAACATCGAGGGGTACGGAGTAACATACCTAGTACTGAATCATTTCATTGCATCTCATGGAAGAGAAGTGTCTGCTGCCTCGTTGGTGTGGTACAGGTTCCTATATGGCACATTGAAATGGCAATCCAGTAGCTGGGGTGGGCACCAAGGTGGCAAAGCAGGAACAAATTTGAAATACACAGATGAGCTGGAGAAGCTTGCACGGTCACAGGCAATAAGAAAAGGAGATTTCATGCCCAGGATTGCCTGGCTGGCAATCTTTAATTAGCACACATAAAGCTGGGAGCATATGTCACACTGTCACCCACTTGCCCCCTTCTGTTTCAGTCAGATAAGTCAGCCTTCACTTCCGCTCCTGACACAGTTGTGTAATGTTAATCACTGCAAAACAATCCCCCTGGCACTCGGGGGTGCGTGCTGTGCACCCCTGTGTAAAACGTGATTCTTTATGGCCTGTATTAACTGGAAGTTAAATGTGGCTGAGTGGCTATAAATATCGGAGAAAATAGGAACCTTGGCAATATGTCTCCAAGAGTTATTCTGGGCCAAGGGCTGATAATGAAGCCTCTTGAATGTTATTCCTCAGTGGTTTGTGTTTAAGAGGCTGTAGATGTCTTTTTCGTCTGTTCACCTCCGAGTGAATGCCTGCATTTTTCAAGATGATGAGTTTTAAACAGGTGCTGTTTTTTAGTTTTCTGTTTTTCTGGCTTCCGGCTGCTTGACAGTCTGTTGCTGCAGAGGCCATCTCCGGTTGTCTCCTTCCCATATGTTCTTCTTGAGTGCTGGCCTCCACGTTTTGGCAGGGGACATGTGGGAGGCAGGCAATGTGCAGGTGCTGAGGGGTCCTGCTTCCTCAGCCTTTCTCTTTAGGGCTATCTTCCCTCCATCCTTTACCTCTCTCAGCCGACTTCTCTTCATCCCCAGTTTAAAATCCCTTCCCCCACGGACAAAGATGAGTATCTCCTGGGCAAAGCTGTCATCTTTTCACCCTAGAAGTGGCCACTGGAATAAGTTTCAGCTGCCATGTGTGTGCCCTGTGCTCAGCTTGCTTATGTGGTGGGTAGGAACAGTTAGGTAGCAACGCAGCTGAGTATGACTGCAAGTCAGAGTCTTCTTTTAAATATTCAATTTAATGCCCCTTTCCCTCCTGGATGGGTAGAAGGATTGAGAAAGCACAGATTCTGCTGGAAAGCCAATTCTAGGAGTGGAGCTCTTAGTCGTTTCAGGGAAGACTGGTTAAACATTGCTTGCTGCCCGTTTATTCACTGTGGAATTTTTGAGCCAAGCTGTGAGATCCCAAACGTGATGGATCTGGGCTGATACTCTGTGGGCACGCCACTTTTTGGAAGGCCTGCTTGCGTCTTTTCAAATTGCTACTGGATGAGGGACTCATCCTGGAAAACCAGCCCAGCATCAAGAATTCCACAGGCATTAACTGGGGTTCCTTTCTTTTTGTTATTTTTGTATTTTTTTAAAGTTGCACTTCTTTCTCCCAAGTGCCAAAGAGGTTTTGCAAAATAGGTATTAGGAGCTATGGACATTTTGGAAAATCAAACTTGGAAAGGCTTCTGAACTTGAGATCAACTCCAGACTGAAAACTATTAGTCTGGAAAGTAATAGCCACCCAGGTACAGCCTCTGTTATGTGTTAGAGCAGCAAACATTTCACTGTACTTCTAGCACAAAGTTTTCATTTGTTGTTCAGTTCTCTGCTGACTCAATACATTTTAAAACTTGAAAAAGAAAACAAGTACTGATCATAAGCTTTCCATGTTTATTCATGTTTTTGGGTACTGTGGAAGAAAAAAGCAAGTGAGGAACAAGTAAATTTTAACATCTGTAGGACAAAAGTTAAACTGACCATCTGCATTAATTTCTCCACACGTGAATGGATTTACAGTTCAAAAAGCAGCAGCTTTGTTGAGACAATAGATTGCAGCAGTCCCAAAAGAGCAGTTGAGGTGTTTCATGGTGATAATTTTTCTCTAAAAAATGTCTAGAGACTCATTGATCTCCTGTGGAATCCTTATGATCTGCTGGCTCAAGTATCTGCTTTTTAAAATGTCCCCAAATGGAGATTTATTATTATATGGATGATTGCAAAACTTCCAAAGGAACCACTTGAGTAAGTTAGGTAAACGTTTGTCATGCCAAATAAAAAAACTCCACAACACATATGTAGAGAAGGAGAAACACATTCTGGCAGTCACCTTTGTTCTCACCCACATTTTCTTTATTTAACACACAATGAAAATGAAAACAAAAATATATTCCACTCAGCGAGGTGCAGTTTTCATTTCAGTGGCACTTTCTTTTGCATGGAAAAGTGCCAGAAAAGTAGAGGTGAGATCTAACATCTTCCTTTCCTGCCTTTGAACAATTGAAATTGGACCATGTGAGCAAGGGCTTTTACTGTTTGGTGGTTCTGCTTGGCTGTACAAATGCTTTAACAATTTGTCTTTGCATAGGAGCTCTAAGATGAAATGCTTCAGGTCACCTGTGTTCCCAAGGGGTTTTTTGTCACTCATACATGTAGTTTATGAGAGCATCTCCTTGTCCTTTGCTTTAGGATGCATTTGTGAAGGTTTCCTTTCAAAAAACAAAAATGCACCTGAAACACAATGTTGTAATTCTCATAATAGGAACATGAATTAAGTCTAGTGTCACAGTGTTTGGGACAGTGTTGGAGGAATGGCTTTGAAAATCTACAAAAGTGAAGAAAGTGCTACAAACAAACAGTGACCCAAAATATGATAATGGTCCCCCTTATCCTCTGAATTGATTAGTAACTACATGATATAGCTCAATTAGAAGCACGGGAAGGCAAATCAACTTTGCTTTTTTTAATGTAAAAAGGAAGTAGTATACATTACAGCAACACTGAATTGCAGTTTATATATCATGATCGAAAAAATTTTCACTCTTGGTTTCATTTATATTGAATGCATCTTATTTCTAGTTTACCAGGTTATAAATAAGTGTTCCACGTTAGTCCCTTTATTGTGTTTGCAGGTTGTCCGGGTTTCCCTAGCAACACCTCAGTAATTTTCAGTACTTCCAGCTTAGTTATCATCTGTTTTAATCCTTACACAGATTTATTCTACATATGTTTTGAGAACATAAACTTGCCAGAATTGTGGTCCGTCAAGTCTGGTATTCTGCTTCTGGCATCGGCCAGTAGGAAATGATTTGCAGAAGGAGTAAATTTCTGCCATAGCAGATACAGGAAATCTGGCATTCATATCATGATGGTCACATCATGATTTCTGATAGTTTCTCCTAAAAGTTTCACATAAGCTTTGTCTTCCATTGTCTTTCATTACTTTATTTATTATTGTCAATTAATCCTCTTCTGGGCATTTTAATATATATTTGTGTGTTTGTGTATGTATTACTTGTGTATTTGACTCTCTTGGCTCATCTTTTCAGTGGTGTTTAATGGCCAAGAAGCAGAACTAGTGCTAGTTCTTCTTGTGTGAGTTGCTTTTGGTGATTGGATAATAGTACAACTCAAGCAATGTAAAACCTTACAGTAGAGAAAAAACTGGGCATCTATTTTCTTGTTTGGGAAGATAAATACTTTTCAAAACTTTGTTCTTTTTCTCAACCTTTCTTTACATGGAATTGTGCATCCATCATACCCTCTCACATTCAACTCCGAGCTCCTCATGATGACTGTTAGATGTCTCTGAGACCTCTCTGGTTGTATGTGCTCTTGTTAAGGTAGGGTAACAAGTGTACTACGGAGGGCCTTAGGATATCTTACTAATTTCTGATGTGTTTCTAGTGAAGTTTGGGTCTTTTTCCAGATTCATGTGCTGAAGGATGAGTCTTAGCAGGTGAATGACCAGCCCAAATCTTGTAGCACTCCCTTTTTCCTGCCCTCCACCCCATGACTGTCTGTTTTTTCTTTCCATCATTAACTTGCCATCATATTACTTGTCAGTCTTCTTACCTTGGTGAATGATTAGTCCCTTGAATGGACAAGGTAAAATTTTTTTTTTTTTCTGAGAAGGTCAAGGTACTTCAGTACTTGGGCCCATTTCTGCCTATCTGTGGTTATGTCATTAGTGGATTTATGGAGTGCTTCAAGACAACTTCATGTTCAATGGATAATTCGGAGTTTCTCTGCTGCACTCTTGATTAGACCAATAAAGTGTAGAAAAAGTAAAGAGGAAACGTGAGTGTGAGACCTAGCATGGAAGCTTACATTCAATACAATATTTTTCCTTGATTTTTTGTTTTTAGGCATTGTCAGATTTTTGTCTGGTTTACTTCTGGTTTCCTTGTGCTTTAATTTCTGAAGTTACTGCTCTGTAGGAGATTGGCTGCCATATCTCAGACTTGTTTGCATGGATAATTAATCAGATTCTATAAGGTTTTTGTGAATTGGCATTTCAGCTGCATATCCATAACATATAGAACCTAGGAAGAGGAATAACTTGCAAATAATTTTTCTTTTTTTCTCCCCTCGCCTGACTCCCACCCTGTTTCTGGAAAGCAGGATCAGCAGAAGTCTTCTTTCACCTCGACTCTGTCAAGTGAAGCATCCTGTTCTCTCTCCTCTCCTGAAAGCACTTTCAACTCTCAAGAGTCGTCTTCTTCCTTGACATCCAAAGTGGTTTATTCCGAGAGACAGTCCTGGCTTGACCTGGTTAATAGCTCTGCCACAGAAGAGGGTGATCCACCTTTAACGTTCTGCGTACAGATTCATTCTGATGAGCTGCCAGAAGCAGACTGTGGAGAAGCGGCAGAAAGCCAGGAGGTCCAACTTTCCAAACCCAATGGTGGATCCCAAAACTCTTTTTTAGGTCTGGATACACATTGTCTAGCAGTGCCAGATGCAACGGGACAGAGATCACTAGCCAAAGGTGAGCTAATGAGAGAGGAGATTTTTGTGTGCAGAGTCATACAATGTGGGAGTTCAGGGGTTTTCCTCACCTTCCTTTCCCCTTCCTTCATTTTTGTTCTTCACTGAAGAGTTTTTCCAGTGGCACATAATTTTTAACAAACATTTGGTTTGTTGCACATTAAATATATAACTTAGTATCTAATTGGTGAGTAACTTTACAGCTTTTCTCAAGTTTTACCTATTTCTTAGAATCATAGCCTCCTTATAAAATCCTAACACAAGCATATTTTTATAGCTTCCTTTATTTTAATAGAGCTGTTTTTCATTAGGTAAGACTGAATCAAAATTTTAAGAAAGAGTGTCACAGAACTGACCCCTTAAGCAAAAATAGCGGTGAATGTGGGGATAGGTCAATCCAACTTTAAAAATAAAACCAGTTGCATGTACTTCAAGTACATGTTCCCTATTTGTTTAAGGAGCTTTGTTGTAATCAAGGGGAAACAACTACAATCTTGAATCAGCATGTCCATTAGGACTGGATTTTGTTTAAGCAAACAGGTATCTGCATAGCTATTCTCTTACCAAAATGTACTGCTAAATGAAAAAGGTGGCTCAGTTCCAGAATTTGGTCATTGTTACTGTTAATAGCTCTCCTGCCATAGTGGGGTGATGTGTCTTACCTTTTGAGCAAAGCTTCTTCTTCCTGCATTAAAAGCAGATGAAGCATAAGAGATGCTGCCTAGAGAGTTAACACATAAGGAAGCAACGATGTTCTTGTGCATCAGTTCTACCTGTGATTCTAAATCCTTGTAAAGATTTGAAGAGAGCACTTTGCTGCTGTGGAAGAGCAGTGTTGTCACAGTACAATGCAAAACAAGGGTGCAGCCAAAAGCTTAGGCTGGAGGTCACACAAAGGTGGAAAGAGACAGCACTGGACTCATTTGGAACTTAGGGTATTTCTCTGCAGGTGAGCTTGGCACTGATTGAAAAATCACAGTACAAGGCACTTTAGTTACATTGTCAGTCTCCTAATTGTTTTACAAATATCAACAGTTAGCACCCCTTTAGTTTGTCATGTGTTTTTCTGATTTTACAAAACAAACAAACAAGAAAAAGTGCTCTGGTTTTACAAGCAGTGAAAAGGCTGGGGCTGGCAGAAATGTGGTCCCTAATGAAAATGTCACAAAGACATGGTAAATACATTGTCTTCTGTAATTTCACTTTCTCGGTTACGTTTGGCTAAGCAATGCCTTTGGGAAAAATTATTAGGTACATTGAGGTGGATTGTTGGAGTGTAGGTCACACATGGTATGGTGGCTTACAGGTCCTCTTAGGCAAGATTCACTCGTTGCTCTTCAGAAATCTAAACTTTTGCTTAGAATGTGTTACTCTGGTATTGTCAGCAGTCCTGCAATAATGCACAGGTTAATGCTTTCCATTATAACTGTATATATCTTTTGTGGATGATCATAGAATTAAGCATGACACATAATAATTTAAGGCATAGTTTAATAGGTTTCATTATCCTAACCAATAGTTTAATAGGTTTCATTATCCTAACCAATAAAAATCGAATTAAAATATAAATTAAGGCACAGTTCGGGTATATTCCTGTCGTTTGTAAGGTGGTTTAATTTTCCCAAAAATATTCCTGGGGAAACGGGTCTAGTGGGAGGTGTCCCTGCCCATGGCAGGGGGGTTGAAACTCAATGATCTTTAAGGTCCTTTCCAACCCAAACCATTCTATGATTCTATGAAATGAATTCTTCCGTTGCTCACTACTTAGCTGATGGCCAACCCTGATCTCAGAACACTTCCATCCTAACCACACCAGTGATCTCTGACGGAATTCCAGAAATAGATCATTTCAATGAGACAGTCTCTATGGAAACTGTATAACCTCACTGGTTACTGTCTGCATCATAACCCGTTGTTGAGCAAGTGAGACGTACACCAAACACACATTTTTCTTTCTTTTATCAGTCTGCATATTATGGGGGTGTGATGGAGAGTGTTGGCATGTGGGGCCATCCCCCACAATGGCCACTGAAAAAAAGAAATGAAATAATTTGCAAGGGGATTAGTTAAACTACTTCAGTTTGAGCATGAGGTAGGGAAAAAAAAAAAAAAAAGAAAAGAATTAATGTAAAAATAACAATTTGGTTCCAAATGAAATTTATCAAAAAGGATGCAATTCTGGTTCTATAGCCCCAAGAATTTCCCCCTCCAGCTAGTTGATAAGGATGTGCACAAATACTGTGAGATGAATTCAAATTGTGAGCTAAAAGCTAGCTGCAAAACCTCACGATTTACAATAACTAGTAAGAAAACCCTTGTTATCTGGTGTGAAACAAGAATGCATCCCTCAGTGCAGACTGTATTATTTGCTTTACAATGCATCTGAACAGCGCATTTCTGACAGCTCGTCATGTTTCAGAGTAAAGAGACTGCGTCTGGGAGACGACAGGTCTGTCTTGCATTGGCATTTGTCCTGAAAGCACATGTCCCATGTGCTTAAAGCTGGCCCTCCTGTTATCAGAACAGCTATGGGGTCTTTGAACCCACTCCCCACAGAGCCTTCCTGTGTGTCTGTGCTCTCTCCTTCTCCTTGTGAGGAGAGAAAAAACCAGTCACACATTCTGCTGTGTGGCTGCATTCTGCTGACTAAAACCCCATGAGGAATTTTTGGTTGTAGCTGATAGCAGCCTGGAGCTGAGGGGAAAGTTTTCAAGAAACTACAAATTCAACTAAATGAGCATGGCTTCTTTATTTATTTATTTATTTAGTATTTTATGAAATCTGCTAAGCAACTGTAAGTGCCTGGTGTAAGGGCCTGAGCTGTACCATATGATACATTTAACAACTTTTCCAGCCACTCTTTGTGATGTTAGGACCATTCTCAGCCTTAATTCTCAGTGCCAATTACTGGGGAGAAGTTACATACAAGAGGGTAATGCAAAGGTACCAAACCTAAGAGTTTAACAGTTTTCTCTTCTAGAAGGAGGTCAGCATTAGGTTTCCATTTATTTTGCGGGAATATTTAATGCTTCTGTGTTGTAGCTTTGCCACTTGCACAGTGAAAAAGGGTTCAAAGCTGCCTGTGACACAAAGAAACTGAAAGGTAAACAAGAAACAGTCAAGAATACAAACAACTCTCCGACTACGTGCTCTGTCTCCAGGAGCTGGCCTTGCCTGGGGTGGCCAGACATGCTCTGCAGCCAAACCCCATCCTTTGTGTTTCTTCTGGCAACTGTTGGAACAAAAAGTATCTGAATATGACCCACTACTGCCATCATCAAAAACTATGATAACAAAAGGAAGCCACAGAAACCGAGAGTTGCTGTAAGAATGCAGGAATGTGCGTTTGCACTTATTTAGGGATCTTCTACTATAGAAATAACATCCTTCTTCCTTGCTTTTTCTGGGGGTTTTATGATCACGTGAAGTTAATGAGTCTTGGCAAGGAATTCTTATGGTACCACTTCTGGTTTATTTATTTTACCTTAGCTCACAGAAGCTGGGAGAAGATCTGATGTGTACTGATATTGTGAAAAACCTGGAAAGCCTTTCACACACCACTTGGGTTTTATCTGGGTTGGTTTTGTGGGACGGAGTCGGTTCAATAGGAGTTGGATGCAGTCAACTCCTTCTTTTCTCAGAACTGGTATCCTCTTCCCTCTGGAGTCTGCCTGTGCCAGTAATAGCCAGAACAGATCCTCTGGTGTGCTCTGGCCCCTTTGTTCCTTCTACAGAAGTTACAGAAAATGGCTAGATTGTGGCTGAGACTAGCCAAGAAATACGTCTAGGGTGAGAACAACTGTGTAGAGAAACAACTGTGATGTTACTCATCAAAAAGGCTTTAGCAATCACTGTGAAAGCTATGGTGTTACAGTTTTCTGAACTCTCTGAAAAAGAGATACTTACCTGTATTTTTTTCCAGTTCAGTCACAGTTTGTTAAAATGGCATCCCTCACTGCTGAGTCCACTATACTGTTATAGTCAAAAGCATCTTACTGTTGGTGGTAACCGATTTTTCCTGTTATTTTCTCCCAATGTTGCCTACCTTTAGTTCTGCATTTGTCAGTAAGGAGTTTGCCTAAGCCATGCCCCCCTAATTCAAATATTTCCTGCCTTCTGTTCTGGAGTTTTGTGGAAAATGTGATTTCCTTGAGGTGTTATCATATTCCCCTTAAAAAATCTACTACTGCTGTGGAGAGTGGATGGGTGTGGGTGGTGTGTGTAGGTAGGTAAGTACGGGCAGAAGCCGTTTATGATTTTTATTTCTCTCTCCAGCCTGGGTCTATATGTTGTCCCATTGGCATCAATGGTTTTAGCAGAATCAGAAATAAGGGTGTTGGCACAGCCACTAGAAGCTCATAAGACCAGTGAAGACAGGAGGAAGAAGCAGGTTTTTTTTTTCTCCTGGGATAAGAACACAGTTGGAGAGCTGTGAAATCTCAGTTAGAGAATGGGAGAACAAGTATTTACATTTCAGCTTAGAGTTTGTAAGATATGTTCTGTTGGAGGCCATTTTCAATGCAAAATGCTCTTTTTGCCAGGCATTGCCAATTTCTAAAGCTTTACTGCTGGGAAACAATTAGCTTGATTTTTCACATCTGCTTTTTGGAAAGTTCTGGAAAATTTCACTTTTGTAGGCTTAAAGAACATTAAAGTTGAGATTTCAGGCAGGCTCCTGTATTGCCTCTGCAAGGTGGGGAGTCTCAATGCCTTAATGTCTCCCACCTGTGGCAAGTTGGCTGACAGGACGGTGGAAGCTGAAAACTGAGGAGGTGAGGAGCTGGCGTGTTGAACCTCTGGCAGCTCCCCCGTGTCTGTGATATCTCCTATTAGTTAGATGGAAAATCCAGATAAGTGGCATCAAGCCACAAAATTGTGTTTTACTTCTCCTGAAAGATTTTGTCAGAAGTTCTGACTTGCCTGAAATATTACTTTAGTTTCCTCGCCCCAACCGAAGGTCTCTTTCTCTTGAATGTTCAGATAGCTCAGGTCACGACTTCCCTTTTCCTTGGGTTAGCACTGGTTCTTTTCCACTGTCCCCACTGTGGGGACTGACAAAGCTAAGAGCTGTACAATACAATATAATTTTTCCAGAAGTGCTATGAAGCTTTTAGCAGACTGCAAGGCTTGTGAATGAAGTGCATTATGCAGGAGCCCAGGAAGACTGATTCTTCCAGTGGCATCACTCAACAGAATTGCTTATAGTTAATACTGCCAGGGGAAGGGAAAAAGTACACAAAGCATGTGTTCCCCTGTGTGCATGTACACGCTCATAAATGCACACAGTATGTAATATCCTTCCACTGTTGCTGTTTGTTTCTTACCACTAATCCTACAGTAGCTCCTGGGAGAAAAATGAATGTATTTTATCTTTAAAATAGGATGAGATAAAGAAGTGCTGCAGTAGAATTTCAGTTTCCTAACTTGCATGCCTGAGATAGAAAGTGCTTAGCTTGAAGAGTACTGGCGGAAGAGATAACTTGCATTATTATATTTTGAATGTGCCTGATGTTAGCTGTGTGACCCGGCTGGAAAGACTCACGTCAGAGCACTGCTTAGTGGGGCCCAAACTATCCATGTTATTAAGAATTTTTGTCAGTGGGATATAGCCATCGTTATAAACCTTCTGAGGTTAGCAAAGCTCAGAGAAGGGGTGGTACATTTATCTTTGAGAAGCCGACCCAGACAATCTGTTCATTTTTACACCAGTGTTTGAGTACTTTGTGTTTTTTGCATAGATTTTTATTTTGTGATGCAAAGCAAATATTTTGTGACAATTCAGTGGTATCGTCTAAATAGCCCAGGTTTCACAAGACTCATCCAAGTCTGAAGCCTAAAAATGTAGAACTGGCAAATGACTGTGCTTCTATTAAAGACTTTGTCATCTGCAGGTCAGTGTTCTGACTCCAGGTGCAAGGGAATTTAGCAATACAAAGTTCTGGGAAAGTGTGCTGTGAATGTTTGAATCCAGAGGAAAAAGTCCAGTCTGTGCTTAAGCCTTGAGTCATGTTGCTTTACATCTATTATCCAACCCTATTTGGATGTTTTGTGGGGAAAAAGTTCCTCATTTACTTTTGTGGCATCAAGAGGCTTGTGAAATATAGGAGAAATATATTTTCTTATCAGAGATCATTGTCTTGTTAATTAATTGTAGAAATAATACCTCTCCCCTTCCCGCATGAACTCTCCCCCTCAGATTTATAGCGTCAATTTGGTGTGTTCAGTGGCAGCTTCAGGCCTGTGACAGATGGGCTTTTGCTTTCTGAGCTTGGCTCAGGGGAACTCAGGACTTTGAAGGTAAAAGTCCAGATAGATACCAGTCTGACCTCAATTCATAGACCTACTCTTTGTCAACAGAAACAGTATCTGTTTCTATAGGAAAGCACAATATTATGACAATATTAACTGTTTTATGTTATAACTGTTGTAGGAGAAGTTCACTGTTCATCGGTGTAAAGAAAGATGGAGACAAAACTACTGTATGACTCATGCCTGGCTCTACACAGATTGTAGTTTTCATTCGCCCTTGTTTTCCAGCTGTTTCCTGAAATCCCATTTAGTTGCTTCACTGTCACTCCCTTGATCCACCCGATCTAAAAAATCTAGCACATTCCCTTCCCTCTGAAATTGCCTGACCCTGATCAGTCCTTTGGGGGTGGGAGTGGTGGAAGAATAAGCAATGGGAGAGGAGTTGGAGGTTGCAAACTTGAAAGAATGCAAGAGTTGAGTGCACGTTGCTGGTCAAGTACATTGTTTGGGAGCCCTTTGCTGGGCTTTTATGACCTCGGCTTCCTTTTTTTTTCCTGTGCCAAGTACTTCTGTCCTCCTTACCTTCATCAACAAACGCACAGAAGATACCAGAGTACTAAGCATGAGAGAAGGTGTTTTTTCTCATGCTTGCTGTTTTGTAAACCATTTAGGACACTGAGAATCTGCACAAATTATTCTCAAAAAATATCAGGAGCAGTGATCTTCTGAACTCCACGGCTTGACTATTTTTTAAAGTTTCTGGACAGGATCAATGCAATTTTTTTTTTTCTTTTTTATATGCTCTTTCTTGGATATCTGATAAAGATCAATTTATCTGTCAATACTGTGTACAGTCCTGGTGGGTGATGTCGAGAGTAGAGCTGAGGCAGTCCTGTGCAGGAGCTGGCTAATGAAACAAACAGCTGTTTCATCCCAAGAAAGTAGGCAGGAAGCTAGTTATAATTACGAGCCTCATGGCATGGGCTGACGGTTTTCAGGAAATACTACTGCCGTGTATTATGCCTTACACTTGCATTTTTTTCTGTTTACTGCAGCTTATTAAATATACAACAGTTCTCCTTTTCCTCCCGCAGCACAGTACCAAAGTTGGAAGCTATATTTAGTTCTTGTCAAGTTACAGCAGGCTTTTTATAATCGCATAGCAGTGAAAAAAAGGCCAGCAACACAGTGAAGGCAAATATTTGTAGCATATCATAAACCTTTCTTGTAACCTAAATATTTAGAAAGAACAGGGGTGTAGGAGGATGCTGTACTTTTTAAAACGTGGGAAAGATAAGGAGCAGCCTCCTAAGAGTGCTGACATGTTGGAGAAGTCTTTTTGCTGTGCCATGGGTGAGCAAAAGGACTTCTTCCTTCCATTCAGAACATGTTTGCTGTCTGATGATGGTTTAGAAAAGTCAATGTCTAACTTTTTGTTAAAAGAAAAGAATGACCAACCAGTTCAACCAGCACATGGAGTGCTGCAGTGGACAAGAATGACCACTGTCATCCCTAGTGAAATAAAAATAAATGTTATCCCAGTGGATCTTTAGGGACTCATTAGTACCCTGAAAACACCAAGAACTTTAAGATTTTCCTTTAGCAAACACTCAAGTAGAAAAGCTTGCAGTATGGACTGAGGGACAAGTAATGAGTTGTGCCATCTGTTGCTGAAAATGGTCTACTGCCAAAATACCCCTATATATGCGTGGTACATTCTTAGTTTCTGACTGCTCTTTTTAAAGTTATTTTATTCTGAAAAATGTCTTTTATTTCTATCTTATTTTATGCTATTTCATTCTCTGCTGTTGGCTAGTTTTTCCTTTCACGTTCTCTGTTATGGATGATGGTGGTGCAACTTAGGAGACATCATATATATCATAATTCAGGTGGAGATAATCAGGGCTTTGTTCGTAAGGCACCACAAGAAAATTCTGTGCTGTAATCTGTGAAACTCATGAGTTAAACATGAAGTGTCCCAAGGATTTCTGCTTTAATCTGTTTTCTGAGGACCTTCTGTTGGGGCCCCTGAAACGTTCCTATATTTCAGTTTATTGCTCAAATTTTTTTCAACTGTAGTTTCAATAATTACTGACCTGAATTGATACACCAAAGAGAATTTGACCTGTGAGTTGCCAGCTAGAAATGTAATTCACTGTGTGCAGCATGTAGGGAAAGGTGAATGGGTGCAGATGCTATCAGAGTTGTTTTCATTCAAATGCAGCATTATTGACAGTTGTTCTAAGTCTGTGACATATTTGGACCATTAAAGTAGTGCTTTATCAGTGGAAATACATGCCTGTATCTGTTTCTATCATGACCTGCTTCTTAAAAACACTTTAGTTTGGTACTATGGCTTTTTCATATGCATTATTACCCTATAAATTACCCTAAAAATCGCCCTTAGTTTTAACTCCCTTACCATTACTTTTTGACTTGGCTAAGAGTCTTTCTGATGGCTGAACTTAACAATTCTGCTGTTTGCTGCCATATTCATGTTCTCATACCCAATTTATTCTTTTCCTTGCAGACCAGGAAAAATGTGATGATGATGAGATGGAGCGACTTTACAAGTCATTAGAACAAGCAAGCCTGTCTCCCATTGGTGATCGTCGGCTGTCAACGAAGAAGGAGCTTAGGAAGTCATTTATCAAACGCAGCAAAAACCCTTCCATTAATGAGAAACTCCACAAAATTCGAATGCTCAACAGCACATTAAAGGTGAGGTTGCAGAGTGAGCCAAAAAAAGCCTGAGAGAGAGAAACAGTTTGGCTGAAAAAAGAAGCAAGCCTAGGCTTCAGCCAAAGTATAATTACATATTTACTTAAATCCCCAGAGAATTTGGTTAAGGTTTTGAAATTTTTTTCTACTTCATTCTGAATATAGATCTATGTTTTGTTGTTAAATCTGAACTGGAAGTAGAGGCTCAGAAGGGACTCTTCTTGCAGAAGTTCCAGCTCATTTGGAAAATTTAATAAAGAAAGCTTCTCCTAGCTAGGAAAAAAAACGTGCTAGTTCAGCTGAATGCACTAAACAGGGGAGCCTTAAAAAAGGAAGAGCAGACAAAGTACGTTGATGATAAAGGACATGAAAATGACCCTGAGCCAAAAAAAGTTTTCCTTATGTGATTATTGGAGAATGTACAGGATGTGCCAAAGCTATTGTAAAGACCTCCTGTAACTAAAATATTTTTAATAACGCAAGCATCCTGCTTTTATGTTGGAAACATATAATGGACTGGAGGGGTGGAGGACTTCAGGGGACGTTCCATGAAAGGGCCAGTAAATCTGTCTGGAGTATGGGGATTTATGAGGTTGTTCACTCAACAGCATCATTTCAAGTGTCGTGGGATTTGAAAGCCTGCTTCTGAATAGTACTGAGGGAAACAGAAAGCTTAACCTAATACTTAAATTGTACAGAGAAGAAAGAAATGCAAACCTGGAGCTTCACTTGCTTCTTTTTTTATGCATTAGGAGAAGGAATTGAATATCTTGTTTCAAGTGTGTGTGTTTGGCTTCAGGCGTTGCACTCTGGAGCGATACATGAAAAACTTCTGCTATTAGCTCTATCATTGATTTGATTATTAGTGGCAACAGAAAATTTAGCTTTGGCACCCCGAACTGTGGTAAAATTCCCGAAGATACAGTTGAAAAGACAAGTGGGAATATGGGCATTCTCCCTGTTTTTGGGCTTTCAGGCTTTATACGAGACCTGGTAAAGTCTCTCTTCAGTATCTAAGAGTCTTCAGTGACATGGTACTGACTATAGCTGTATTCATCTGTTTCAGCCCACCACATAAAAGAAAGTTAGTTTAAAAAGTACACCTATTTTATGGGACAGGAAGCTAAATACAGAAACATCCTGCAAAGTTTTCCCTGATAGGAGCCTTAGGAATCTAAGGACCCTAATATATCTAAGAACCAATTAGCACAAAATAGAGTTGTATCTTGTGGGACAATCAATTTCCTTAGTACACACCTGAATGGAAGCTTGGAAGCCTTACTGCCAGACATGAGCAAGGACAGCTCTGCGTTGGTTCAGCACAGGAGTATTTTATAATTTGTGATTAGCAGTGTTTATAACCTTAGACTTGTCTGAAAATTTTATTTAATATGGAAAAATAATTTTTAGAGTGTTCATAATATATAAAATGTGTTGATCTTTTTTTTGCTTTCTTCAAACTAAGAAATTGGGGTATTGGCAAGACAAATATAGCACAGACATTTTCTCACAAACACAAACGCAGTAATGTTTAAGTTAGTTTGTCTGAAGGGCAAATGCCTGCAGTGGAAAAGTGCCATATTCTTTGCATCAGTGGGATTATATGCTTTTAAAATCAATTTTCTTAACATATACCATGAGACATTAGACAATTGGAAAAGATCTATTGGAAATTAGAAAATCAAGAAAACTTTTGCATCTGATCCACGTTTACTCTGCTTAAATTAAAACCCTATCAGTTTGAGACAAGTGATTTATGCAAGATTCAGTGTAATTTTAATTTTGGACTTTTGACTCTACATTTTTAACAACAGATTAATGTTGCTGTCACGATATATCATTAACAAAACATGTTTGGGATAGTTTGGAAGAGATGGAAGCTGTGTGCAAACGCATCACAGGCTTAATGAATGTGGGAAATAGATTTAGTGCTGCAGAAAAATTCCACAGCATGGCTTTTTGACACCAAGTTGGTCCACTGCGAATATTATTCTCTCCCTTCTGCCTCCTTATCTCCTCCTCTCTCAGGCTAACTGCACATATCTCTGCATCCATGCCAGAAGCCCTCTTAGAAGGGCTAACACTAGGTCTGGAGGGTAGGACTTGCGTAAACCAACAGTTAAACAATCTTTTCTGTTTCAAAAGTTGCTCAGGCATCACAGGGATTAGAGTAGTTGATAGTTCGTTAGAGCAGTGGGATATGGATGTGTGAGCAGATGATTGCTACTATTGGGAAGCATCACAAATGTGTGGGAGTATTTTCAAGGCAGCCACTAATACAGAGTACTTGTGGCAGCAGGAGAAGATGGTGAGAACTATTCCATCACTTTCACACACAGACTGGAGGGAACGAAATCAGGCAAAAGCAGTAAAAGTTGGTTAGTGCAGCATGGTGTCTCCATTAAGAAATTGTAGCTTCTTTCCATTAAGAAATGTAGGGCTTCTCTGTCCTGTGATCCACTGCATGGATAGGCAATGAGGGCTGGAAAGACAAGGTGGTTTGTTGTGTCAGAAAATGTGCGGATGTCAATGTGTATGAATACCTGAATGGAGGGTGCAAAGGAGACAGAGCCAGGCTCTTTTCAGTGGCACCCAGTCACAGGACCAGAGGCAATGGGCACCAGATGAAACACAGGAGGTTCCCTCTGAACATCAGGAAACACTTTTTTACTGTGTGGGTGAGTGAGCACTGGCACAGGTTGCCTAGAGAGGCTGTGGAGTCTCCAGACTTGGAGATATCAAAACCCCATCTGGACGTGGTCCTAGGCAGCCTGCTCTAGGTGTCCCTGATTGATCGAGGTGGGGGTTGGATCAGATAGCCTCCAGAAGTCCCTTCCAACCTCAATGATACTGTGATTCTGTGCCATAAAGTATCTCAATCTCCCTGTATCGGTGACTGCTCAAGTCTTATGATTGAACCAGGGTGCCTGCAATATATGGTCTGAGGTGCTCTTGTCTAAAAGTAGAGACCAGATTTGTTAGGAGTAGCTGGTGGTAGATGCACTAGCAGCCGCATGTGCTCTAGCCACCCAGAAACTCCACTGCCAGTGCACAGAATTTATCCAAAATTATTTTCCGTCTAGCTTGCAGAGAAGAGGAATTTAAAATATGGTCAGGGAATAAGCACATTTTGAGAAAGTTGGAATAGGTGTGAATTATAGAAATAAATGCTGTTGTGTCTAGTTTCATGCAAGAATTAACTTGTGAGACAGCGTAACTAATTTTGACATGGATTCTTTTGAGAAGAATCCTATGAAATAAAAAATCTACATGGAGTCATAATCTTGCCTTCAACCAGGATGAATTTCTGCTAGGGACTTAACTCTAATGATCTACATTCTAAAAATGAGAACAAGTTGCCAGGAGGGTGGGTAATTAGCCATCTCCGTTTGACATGGTTCTCTAATGTTCCCAGAGTGTTTTTGTTACGGACAATGAACTTGACAATTTCTGTAGGAAATAACCACTTGTTCTCTTCCTAGTGCAAGGAACATGACCTGGCCACAATTAACCAGTTGCTAGAGGACCCAAAGTTGACAGCAATGAAGTACAGAGAATGGAGGAACACAAACATCATGCTAGTCCAAGATATCTATCAGCAGCAGGAGGTCCAGGACGCGTCCACGGAGAATAGTGAGGAACAAGAGACGACTCCACGGCCTATTACTGAAAGTGCTATCTGAGGTCGTGGTTCAGTGGTTCACATCAAGATTTTTTCCCTACGGGACTCGATGTACAGGCACTTTAAACTGCTGCATTTTGAGGTTTGTTTTTCCAAGTGTTCTTTGAAAGGAAAACAACCCCTTCTCGAAAGCTTTAATTCATTTTCCAAAACTTATTTTATGTCAAAAAGGCAAATTCCCCAAATTATAAAAGCACTCCTGAACCTCGGCTGCATACCTAAGAAGACTATTTTATGAAGCAGTGAAGAAATGTTTTTCCATCTTTGGAGAAGCAAATGAAGTATGTCCAACTCCTGGAAGTCACAGAACTGTATAATATGAACCGAATAAATGTGAGATCTTTGGGGTTGTTTTTACCATGTAACTTACTGTTAAAGGAAGCTACAACAATGCCAACAGGATGTCATCTACTCTCTACCTTTTTACTCTGTAAGGTAACCTGATGTATGCATTTTCGTCTTTACATTCACCCACTTTCACCACTCTTCCAGTATAAACTGAGAGAAAGAGAATAATTACGCATGAGTTTATACTACAGGCAGCTGCCAGGCACACAGTTTGTGTTCTGCCTGATGTTTTATGAGTTTCAAATTTATTTATGGACTAGACCAAGGTACTGTCTTTCTACATGAAGAAGAGAAGGTCCCCAATGTTTGCTAACATGTAATTTACTCTTCAGTGAGGCAGCTAATGCTTCATCAAGTTTCAAATTTTCTTATGGACTTGACAGAATTCCTTGGAAGACTATTTTCTTTTTCTTATTTTTGACAATTGTGAATATATTAGGTACAAGTTCATCCCAGATTCCTACGTGCGAAGGTGATCAATTTCACAAGGCAGAAGCTAAAAAGTAATTAAATTCCTAATGTGAACCTGAAAGTGTAAAACATAGCTGCAAATATTTTTGTAAATATATGTCATTTTATGGCTTATATTGAATGTGACTATGTACTGTATATATGTTTTATTTATATATTTATATATGCTGAATTTCCTAATGTATCCAGGCACACATGGACCAGACCCATCCAGATGAGAGTGCTTACAGGTTGACTTGAAATGCTTCTGGCTTTTTTGTTCCATTATGAATCACATTAATAGCTCTACAACCAAGATTACCCTGGGGCATCTGCTGTAACTTTTTTTTCTGTCTTTCTAGCTTTGAGTTTTAGATGAAGAAAATCTGTATAACTTTGGGCAGGAAAATAAATTTTCTATAAAATGTCAGGATTTCCCTTTGGGCAAACAAAAATAAGTATGTTAAGAGATTTTGCTGCAGGAGTGTAACTTTTTGGCTTCATTGTCTTCAGTACAGTTTGGTTTTTTAGCCTTTGCATCTTCTGCATGCGTACAAGTATGAGGGACTTTTGCTGAATTTTGAAAAACAAGAAATAGCCCACCATTCTCAAATTAATGCCACTACAGGAACTGTGGCAGTCTTCACTTCTGCTGGCTATTTCATAAAAATACTCTTTGTCATTAGTTTGCAAAACAGTTTCTCTTTTAAAGCAAAATACATTATACAGATGCAGCCATATTCACCTGCCTTTATACGTTGTATGTTTTATCATAGCTTGATTGAGAAAACAAAAATTTAACAGTGCTAGTGGGAACATGTGAAGTTTTTTCCACCTGTGTAGTGATATCTGACTGTTGTTATTGTATTTTAACACTCAGTAGCTTACTTTTTGGAATAGAGACATGGAATTGTCCCCCAATGCATTCAAAACTGGCAGCTAAGGCTGTGCTGAGTATGAGAACTGAGGAGCAGAGAGTGAGCTATAAAAAGGGGAAATAGAAGGAAAAATTTAGGCTCCTTTGATGCAGGATTTAATGGGAGAGGGACAGGCAAAATGGGGGCTGGTTGAATGCAGAAGTAGGCCTGAATTTGGGGACAATGTCACTGCTTCAGGTACAGAAGGGTTTAGGAGTGTGGACTGATATTGGATCAGGACTTCATAACTGAGGCTAGTCTTCTGGTGGGGAATGAATGTTAGCTGCAACCTGGAAGTGGGTGACAGTGACTAAATGGGGAAGCAGACAGAAAACCCAGGTTGGTTTTCAGGAAATTGTCATCCAAGTGGTGATTTCATCACTTCAGTAATTCTAACTGGAAGTTGATAGAAATTAAGCAAACTCAATACCTGTTGCAATTTGGTTTAGAGTAATGACCTCCTAAAAAGTGAGCCCATTCTAAGGCTTTTTTTATCTTTCACCATTCCCAGAAGACCCTCTGGACTGTGGACTTTCGTGAGCATCCTGCTCCTGAATGAAATTCTTCAAAGCAGATGCGTAGGTGGGAGTGGGATGACCCCTGAAGTTAATGTGATGTCAATTTACTGCCAAGCACACACTGCTTGTTCCATCTCAATTTTAACTACTTGGTGCTAAATAATTGATAAATAACAGAGGTCAAATGGAACATACACTTCAGATTTTCTCTTGCAGGTGCAGAACATTCAGCTTCTCCTGCAACAAAGCAGGTAAACACCATTTTTCTTCAAAAGTGTCTTCACTTAGATCATAAAAACAAGTATGTGCATAAATGGCCTGTTGAACTGAGCCAGACTGGCCAGTGCCTTGCAGTTCTGAGCAAAGTCCTAATCAATGCCAGTTGCTGAAGCAGATTTGCACTATACAAAGGAAAGCACTGTGTGGCTTGCACACACTGTGTTGGCTCTTTTCACACTGTGCTTGTGTAAGCACATACAAAACAGGTTTCCCAAATGCAGACGAATGTCCTCCAACTGCCTGAACTCTCCTACTGGTTTTGATTACAGTAGCCTAAATTAGCTTTTAAATGACTCTCTTTCACATGGTGAGTAGATACTTATTGAGTTTTGGAAAACCTGCTGAGGATAGGCTGTATTGCCCTCTTTGAAAATGGCAGAAAACTCACGAACTTTAGTGCAGTTGTTATTTTGACAAATTTCTGTCTGTTCAAGAAAACAAATGTATGAGTTTTATGCAAGTGCAGTGCTGGGAGTCTACCTCCATTTTCTTCAGCTACTATTTAGGCCCAAAACAAATAGAAAGTTTGGGAAATGTGAAGTAGAAATTGCAGTAAATCAGGATTTCTTTTCCAGCACTGCTAATTAACGTGACAGTTTTGACCTGGTGCTGGGTTTGGCACGAGGGGCTGTGAAGAGACATGAAAGCCACAGCTGGAGAAAGAATTGTGCACAAGCCGACAGCTACAGCTAGTGGATGCAGTGGGGATCCACCTCGCAGGAAAAACTTGGACAACTCTGTGCTCAGTGATACTTAGGGCAAATGGTGTCTGTTGGTCTCAATATGGAAGGCCTGCCACAGTCAATGTCTAAAAGTCTTTAACCATCTGCTTCATGGGACTTGTTTTATGTATTTTTTCGGGAAAAAATGTGTGTGCATGGATGTGTGCACGTGCAACTTACTCCTTTGTCAGCATAGCCTTTCGGTATTGGTGCAAATATTGGTCCAGCTATGCAGATTTTGGAGTAACTAATGACAATATCTAATTTCAGCTGTTTCTGCAGCCTGTCTATGGTGGCTTTTCTGGAAATTGAATCTCTGTTTGGGTGGCGTAAATCTCACAAGCTACAAGAATGAGCTGGGATCACATTTCCTTTCCTAAGAAAGGAAAGGTTTCAGGTGGGGACAGTGAATCGTTTCTGCATCTAATCCTGATGATTTACTCAATGCTAGATTTCTCCTAAAGCAGGAATAAATAATGTGATTCAACCTCTTTTTTTTTTCCCATTGGATAATTTTCTTTCTAGAGAAAACCTTCATGTTGAGAGAAAAGGTTGTTTTGGGACAGCCAGGGAGGGAGGGGAGGAAAGGAGGTGGCATTTGATTTAAAACTGTGTAGCATTTCAGAATTTAAATTTTTTTCTAACTAGGAAAAAATACGGGCATGCTGCATCTATTGTGTGAGCCTGTAAGCTTAAATGTCTATTACAGATCTAAAAACTTGTATTTTTTAACTTTTAAAGTAGCAAGACAGTCCATGTAAGCGCACTGCTATGTGAGGAGCTCTGTGTGCTGTGGTTGAAGTTTGGGTTTTGGCCTCCTATTTTTTTGTTTTGCTTTTTTGGTGGTACAGAAGTGACCAACTGCAAAGAGAGCCTGGGCTTACTTCATTTGTGACGGACATGTCTTTCTGTTTACAGGAAGCCAAAGTGGTTTTCTTGTGGCAGTAAAGCCAAAGTGGTATTTCCTGTTTTGTGTGGGGCATTTCGAAGCAGCAGACATTTTAAGATGTCAGTCAACGTTTCCTTGACATCCTGAAGATTTATCCCATTTTGGCCTGCTCCGAACTGCCACATTCTTGCATTTTTAAGAACTAGCTTCATAGTAACTAGAATAAAATGTTGAGGTGAAAAAAGAAATGGCAAAACAGAACAGTAAAGCTCTGAGCTAAGATCAGGCTGAAAGTCTTTTCTCTGTGCAAAGGGTAATGGGAGCTAAGCTTGCCAAAAGCTAGGCATTTCAACACTGAAAAAAAGATTGTCAGGTGTTGAGGAGAGTACTACATTCCTCGAGTTTGCTGTGGGAGAAGTTCCAAGACCTGTTTGCTCTGGAAAAATGAATATTTTTCTAATTTATTTCTTCCTGGTAAAAATCCAAAGGGAGTGGCTTATAAACTGGCAGAAAGTTAAAAATGAAATATGCATATAATACAAGACAGTTCATCAGCCTTGATGTATTGCTTTGAACTGGTTGACTCTAGATGACTCAGCCTTTAACACAGAAAATCCATTTCTTTGGGAAACCTTTGTAGCTACCAGAGTTTCTGAGGCTTACGTACCCCATCTGGCCCACGTGGGGGCCATTTGGAGGACATAGGTGTATGGCAATTCTATAGGGCAAAGAGGTTACATCATCACACCACAGCTTAGGAAACACCTGAACTCTAACTCTTCCTGTGTCCTAGATGTCTTAGGACCTGCCCAAATTATTCTGACTCCTGAAGTTACTTATGACAGTTTTACCTTCTCACACCTGAAAATAAAGAGGATATGAAAATCCCACTCTCATGTGAAGAGAAACTAGGGCTAATCTAGCATATCTAGCAAAAATAACTCACCTGATGAAATGCCACATGAGCACAATAATAGCAGTGTTCTTGTGCAAAGCTTTCAATACTGAGGACTGGCCAAAAGGAGGAATGGGGGTGTCTATTCCATTCCCCTCTGGAACGCCATGCACAGAGGAATATTTGCCTGCAGCACCGTGAAGGTATAGGGAATGTCAATTTGGTATTTTATCTGCTATGCCTATTTTTATTTTTTTTTTTCCCACTGGTTTCAAACTCAAAGCACAATGTTTGCACTCAGCGCTGCCTTTTTGCTGCTTGTTGCCCACACATGTGACTTGATTTTAATGGAATGATACACACATCTTGCAGAATGAGAGCCTTATGTTTGCACTTGTCAATTAAACACTGAAATGAGATAATATTTTGCTCAGCCTTTGGTTTTTTTTTTTCCACTTTTCACTGCGGATTTTTCAGTTTACTGCTCTATAATAAGGATTTTCTGGCTCTTTAAACAAGCAAATTCCCCTTGGGACTAATATTACTATTAAGTTGAATAATCTGGAACCAGGAGTCGTCAATGAATGGTTTGACTGAGCAATGCCTTCCACTAGTTGGCAATGTAATTTTTTTAAACTCTTCTGTTAAATTAGTTAATTCTCTTTAATTGTTTTGTTGTAGCCACCCTTAGAGAAAGATGGTCTCTTCTGACAGGCATGGGACATTGTTAGATTTTTATTGGTTTTTAGCTCACAGAGTAGCCTGTTTCAATTAAAAGAGGATTTGGATCTTTGTCAAAAGGGTTTTAATTTAGCTGGACAGGCCAGCCTGATAGCAGCACAGTGAAGGTGTGTTTCCTAAGAAATGATCTTGTCAAAGGGGTCAGCTGCCCTAAAGGGAGAATGTCCCTGTCCTCCTCTCTTCCTCCTATCTCCTGCGTGCACCCACTGCTCTCCTCAGGCTAATTTGCTCATCATTTGGCAGCTCTGTCAGCTCAGCTGAGTCAGGCAGCAAGGAACAGACCCAGCAAGTTGGATAGTTGTCTACTGTGATAGTGAACAAAATTGGCTTATGAAGAGGCTCAGTGCCTGCCACAGCCCTTACAAGGGAGGCAGCTGGACTGCGTAGGCAGAAGCAGAAGGAAGAAGAGCTGCGTAAGCAGGTGGGAAGAGGAGGACCTCTTCCTTTTAGGAGCAGAGCATTAGCTTAACTCACCTTCCCACAAGGCTATAGATTCACTTTCATCACGTGATGATTTCCCTTTTTTCCCCCTTCAATACATGGTTGTGAAGAAAACGTGAGGGGAACAGTTTTCATGTGGGGTTTAGTGTGATTTCATCCTCTGTTCTTGCTTTCCGTGCCTCATGCATGGCCAAACCTTTTGTTTCCGGGTCTGAAAGCCAAACACTGCAAAAAACAAAGCTATGTTTCTTTAGAATCCTTCCTGGCTTGATTGCTGTGGGGATGCTGGGTTAGGGTTAGGTTGGATTCTGGGTTATGGTGCAGGCACGAGAAAAGCAGTGGCTGGGGCTGCCACCGTGCGTACATCCATTTAATCTAGCTCTTAAATTGCACCTCACTCACTTGGACCACCCCTTGTTTTCCTCTGGCTTTTGATTTACACCCTTCTGTGGTAGCACAAAATATAACCAGTTCCAAAGTTTTATAAGAATAGAAATTAGTTGCTCATCATGATTTGGACGTTTGTCTTTTGTCTGCTTGAAAAAAATTGCTAGGCTTCCAGACAGTCCCTGTGAGCCTGGAGGTCAGTATGTTCACTGGCAACACAGAGGGCAAAAGCGTCATTCCTGACCCTATTTCATCACGTCGCATTTTGGAAAGGCTCAGCCATCATTCTTCTGACGTTGTCATGGGCTGTTTCTTATTGCTGGAAGAAAACATCTACTGTCAGGGGGAAAGTTCCTGTATTATCTTCCTGTGCTCAAGAAATGACCCGGTTGTCACTAGGGGATGTTTAAAACTGGCTGGCAGAAGCCTTGGTAGCACATGGGATACTGTGCGTGGTGACAAACTGCTCTCTTATTTTGATGAGGAAATGTGTATCTTCCCTCTTTCCACCCCTGGGTAGAGGGTTGTCAGTCTTGAGCAGACACAGGAGTTCTCCTTGTACTGCCGGTGGGAAGACACAGCTTCTTGCCAACGGGTCTCAGCAAGTATGTTTGATGGAGAAAACTGATCCCTTAGCACAGCCTGCTGGCTGCTGGTGAGACGGCAAGCCAGGGAGAAAATTACAGGTTTTCATGTAAGAAGGCAAATAACAGTGATGCTGCTGTAGGTGTGATGGATTCGGTCTACATCTGAGCAAATTTTCCGGTGAGGTGCAGGTGGGAAAATGGAGCCAGTGTCTGGCACTCCAGTCCTCTCCAGACCTGAAATGGCAGCAGTGAACTAAAGCCAGGTACAGTCCGAGGGAAAAGATGCTCTGTGAGGAACAGCAAGTTAACACCCAAGAAAGAAGCTAGGAAAGGAGAGGTGGTAAAACTGGGGGTAAAAAAGGGTATCTATTGCCTGCGGAATAATGAGGGACATGAGGTCAGTGGAAACCCACAGCCTGCCACGCAACTGATGTCTCCCGGGGGTGGGTTTAATATCTGGTTATTCAACATCCATGCTACTCCAGTATCTATCTGTCCTTAAGTAGAGGATGATGTGGTGTTGCCAATATAGGCTGTGACAATCGATGGTGACATGGTGAATCTTTCAGATCTTGAGGACCAACTATTCATAGGTAAATCACTGCTGGCAATACACAAGTAGAGGATGATGTGGTGTTGCCAATATAGGCTGTGACAATCGATGGTGACATGGTGAATCTTTCAGATCTTGAGGACCAACTATTCATAGGTAAGTCACTGCTGGCAATACGCTTTCAGGAGGCTCTGTGTAAGGGAAGAGGGAAAGCTGAAGGGATTTCCTGCCTCACTGTCCCCTCTGTCAAGAAGTGCTGCATCCTGGAGTTGGCCAGTGCAGTGAGACCCCATGAGCCTAGTTCTCCTTGTGTGACTTTGCCTCTCCTGAGGCCAGCATATGGCTGTGTGCAATTGCACACAGAAATACACAGATGAGCTGGCTTTGAGCTGGCTTGGTGAGTTCACTCACTTAAGGCAAGGAGTGGCCCTGTGTGAGTTCACTCACTTAAGGCAAGGAGTGGCCCTCTATAGTTTGGAGAAGAGGAGGCCAAGGGGAGACCTCATTGCCCTCTACAACTACCTGAAAGGAGGTTGTAGAGACGTGGGTGTTGGCCTCTTCTCCCAAGGGAATAATGACAGGACCAGAGGAAATGGTCTGAAGTTGTGGCCGGGGAGAATTAGATTAGATATTAGGAAGAATTACTTTACTGAGAGGGTGCTCAGGCACTGGAACAGCCTGCCCAGGGAGGTGGTGGAGTCACCATCCCTGGAGGTATTTAAGAAACATGTAGACATGGCACTTCAGGGCATGCTCTAGTGCCCAGGATTGTTGGTTTGTGTCTGTTGTAGGTGGGTTTGTTGTGGTTTGGGTTTTTTTGTTTGTTTGTTTGTTTGTTTTTGTTTGTTTGTTTTTTTGTGGTTGGACTTGATGATCTCAAAGATCCCTTCCAACCATGAATATTCTGTGTGATTTTGTGAGTGGAGGGCTCTGCTGACACCCTCTGGAGTGGGGCTAAACAGCTGAACCCCCCATCTTTTTGGCTTTATTGTTACGGAATTCAAGCAGCACAAGGAGGCTTACCTGTGCCACAGGCATCTGACTCTCATTTTGAACAGTGGGAGGTTACCTTAAAAATACACATCAGGCCCTTCCACATCCCCAAATTAACAGAAAAAATAAGAAAAAATGAATGATTGCATCATGGGCAAAACAGTCTTGACTGATTCTTGCCAGTTAATACAAATTTTTCATCAGGATTCAGGTACTGGGGAAAAACTCTGGGAATCAACTAAAATGTGGTCTAAATATTTCAGTGGCCTCAGGTAGGTTCCTGCCCCAGCGTGGGTTACCTGCAGCCATAGTCCTTTAGGGATGTCCCTCTCCTCCTTGCTATGAATAATTCACTTATTGATTTGACCAAAAAAGGTTCCACTGTAACATTGGTGTTTTGGTAAATTAACATGGAAAAAAGATTAGCTATGATTTTCCAAAAACCATTCAGTAATTTTTGTGGTGACTGACTTTAGAGCTATTTGATTTTCTCAGAACTATGGGTGTTTTTTTAAGATCATGTTGAGTTCTCCTGAAAGCCTTTTCCTACAAAAAACCTAAAAGGCCTCCTATCAATTTTTGCTTTGTACCAAACTTTTATCTCCATCATCTAGGATAAAATTGATTGCTTTTGTGACAGGACTGATAACTGATTGGAAAATACATCATATAGGGATTGGCAATACTGAAATCTCCAAACAAGACAATAGGATCAACACTTTACCTTCCACTGGTATCCAGTTTTTAATTTGACAGTCTGATGTTTTTCTTGAATTTTTAAAAATATTCTCCTGATTAGTGCTTCCATGTATTACATTTTAGCAAATAGAATGAAGGCAAAACTACTTCAACTTTCATATATTTTTTCTGAATTTTTACTAGGCACAGAATCATATTCTTCTCCTTTCCCTCCCCTGAGATTTCTAACAATTAATCTTTTCTTTTGCGTTTTTGGAAGAGCAATGTATTTGTGAAAAGGGCACACTTTCTAGTTCAGGATAATCCATAGTGTCTCCTGCTGCTTAATGAGTCTGTGAATGTATGTATTCAACCTCTATTACTGAATGCTTGCTAAGTTTAGTAAATGGTGCAGACATGGTACAGACTGTTCAAATTTAATTACTTTTTTGTATTTCTTCATTGGAATATTTCTTTGCGTCTGATGTTCCAGAGAATCAGAATACAAGAGAAAAGGAAACGGGAAGGCTCCATTCACATGTAAAAGATGCATCCGTTGGGTGTTTCTGCACATCTGTTTACTGTCACAGCCTCTTTCTTTAAATATCCATTTTATTTTTCTCTTGTAACGCTCTCAGTAGGTAGCATCAGAAAAAAGCATTCTCCCCAGTTCCCTGCATGTTGAGTCAGAGGGATAAATACAACCTGGTGGATGCAAATGTGTTGGGGGTCTGACGACTAGGACAGCCAAACTCTCTTGGTCTGAAAGATTTACAAATCAAGATTGTTTCCATGTATCATACTGCAATTAGATAAAAGCAGAGAATGGTGGCAGCATAACACTGGCTAACAAAAAAGTTATTATACAATGTTCAAGAAATTTATTTTTTTCATGAGAGGATCAGATCAAATCTAAGCATCAGCTTATGATGGATCAGAATTCATGCATTGACTTTAACTCTTGGTAATGGAGAAGATGAGTGCCTTCACTAGAGGATATCTGAACAGGAGGCATCTTATTGGTTTGCCATTG